AGCTGGGTCAGGTGGGTTGATGGGGTTGATTTCGTGGGCAGGGTTGTTGGGATTCATGTTGTTGACAGCTATGAGTACAATATCCTTATCGATGAGAAGCACAGTGCTGAGCATGACATCTACCCGTCCTTACAAATCATGACAAAGCAAATCTAGAAGCAAATTTCTCAAGTTAGGTTGGCCTAAATTTCATGGCCAAACAGGCTCTTAGTGCTTCCAGTACTATATTAACATTGTCCCTGCCATTACTAGTAGGTATAAATATATCAACTATCGAGCTTATTCTGTTCATGTCGTAGTGCTAGCCTTGTAGAAACATATGTAGTCTGTCACCAGACTTTGCAAACGGCAAATATCATCTTCCCCGAATCTTCCTTGCAGGCAGCAGGCGGCAGGACCATGTTGAAGCTTGTCATGGTCGTTGTCGGCCCCGATTAATTGTGGGTGAATTCGCGTCCGAGCCACTCCGAACCGCTCGGCATCTCGCGGTGTTTCCGCATAAATTTACCGCTCAGTCAACGCTTAGTGCTCTCCCATCTTCCCTCAACGTTCTGCTCGACGACGACCACAACGTCCATCATGCTCGCCCGCTCTGCAGTCCGTGCTTTATCCGCCAATTCCCGTACTTTCTCTTCGTCTGCTGTAAGGCAAACGAAAGTTGCCGTCCTTGGTGCTGGTGGAGGCATTGGACAACCATTGTCGCTCCTTCTCAAGACTGATCCCCTCGTCAGCTCTCTCAGTCTCTACGATATCCGTGGCGCACCCGGTGTTGCAGCTGATGTAAGCCATGTCGACGCTCACAGTGAGGTACGTCGCAGCTAGCTACATACGCCACGGTTTAGTTCAATCAACTTCAAAGGTCAATGGTTACCCTGCAGACAAGCTCGACGAGGCCCTTGACGGTGTCCAAGTCGTTGTTATCCCTGCTGGTGTTCCAAGGAAGGTGCGTTTCCTCTCACTATCATCGTGCCTTCTTACACAGTCCTGACCCTGCCTTTCAGCCCGGTGTAAGTCATATAACTGCATCTGTTACTCCGCTCTAATACCCTTTATAGATGACCCGTGATGATCTATTTAATGTCAGTTATACATACCCTCCATTGCATTTACCCTGCTAATTCTATCTCGAAAGACCAATGCTTCCATTGTCCGCGACCTCGCAGCAGCAATTGGCCGCGTCGCCCCTACTGCCCATATTCTCGTCATCTCAAATCCTGTCAACTCTACTGTTCCCATTGTTGCGTCTACCCTTCAGAAAGCTGGCGTTTACAACCCTGCTCGCTTATTTGGTGTTACGACCCTTGATGTCGTCCGTGCTGCTCGCTTCACCGCCGGTATTGCAGGGGTCAAACCCGCGGACACTCCCATAACTGTTGTCGGTGGTCACAGTGGCGCGACGATCGTACCTTTACTGTCACAAAATGCACACGGAAAGGCCATCACAGGCGATGTTTATAAGGCTCTTGTCCACCGCATCCAGTTTGGTGGTGACGAGGTCGTGAAGGCTAAAGATGGTGCTGGTAGCGCCACCCTTTCGATGGCATATGCTGGTGCCAAATTCACCAACTCTCTGTTACGAGGTTTGAATGGCGAGAAAGGTGTCATCACGCCCACCTTCGTCGAGAGCCCTCTTTACAAGGACCAGGGTATCGACTTCTTCTCGTCCAATGTGGAACTTGGTGTAAGTAACGGAAGCAAGCCATCTACATCATTTGTACTCACGTACTCTACAGGTTAATGGTGTTGAGAAAATTTACCCTCTCGGGCCTCTTTCCGCTGAAGAAGAGAAGCTATTGGAGGCCTGCTTGCCTGAACTCAAGAAGAACGTTGAGAAAGGCAAGGCGTTTGTTGAGAGTTCGTAGATTGATTCGTTTTAGATTTGTTGTCCCTTAAAATATCTTTGCCGTATGCATGACTTGTTCGAAACTCGCGCATAAATGAACTTATCTTAGCAGGTCTAAACCCTCCTTGCTAGGTGCCGAGGCCGTCACGTTAATGTGCACAAGGTGCAGTGAGCTGCCACAGATAGTTCAATTTGACAAATAGTTACGCAAGGTACTGACGGCCCTCAGTATAAGGTTCATGGCACGTGTGATACTCTACGTTCATCGTGCTCGCAAAACTCACAAGTGAGGTACCTTGAAGCAGTCAAAAATCTTTGACCCTTGCTTGGCTTGAGTGGCATGTTACTTATCATGGTGCCGTTGCGACCTGGTGAGTCACGTGTGATGTTATGCGCCTAATTGTTGGTTGCTATATATTCAGCCTACCATGCTCAGTGATACTGGTGCCTCTCTCCTTCCGGCTCTCAAGCATGGATTTACAAACCTCCATTGAAATCTCAACCAGCCTCCGGTCCCAGAATGTAAGTGATTGGTATTTGTTGACATTTGCGCTTCACTCATTTATAATCTTGGTATTGGCAGTATTTTTTTGGTGCTATCATTTCGACCATAATAACATCTCTCATAGCTAACAGAGTTCTTGCTAGTATCACTAGCGTTTTTTTGGGTGCGCATTCTTGTCATTTGTCCAACCGTCATTCAGAAACATCTACTCACAGGTCTACGACTGTTTCCTGACCTTGGACCAGGATGTGATTTCTTCTTTCCGAGATGCAGCCTGTTGATCGACAGGCTAACTGTTGTGTACAGGTATCTTTGATTCATGGACCAACATGGAAGAAAGCAAGTATTCTTTATGTCATGGCGAGATATTTACCAGCTTTCGTGTTCTGTGTACACTTGTACAGTGAGTCCAAATAGCATGCTCTATCGTCAACTCGCAGCTAACCAGGATACGGAAGTGAACTATCTCCCGAGTGAAAAATATGTGGTAAGCATTTATTGGAAATAATGTCACCTGCCGTCCTGAGGATTCGCCGATGTAGACTTGTAAATTCCTACATTCAATGTGGTATTGTAAGTATATTGTAATCATGGAATTGCCAGTTCCACTCTAAGTTTGTCCTTTAGGTGCTTCTGCATTTTGCGTATCTGGTGCAGAAGGTATTACGAGTTTTATAGTGTATTCACGCAGAGTACTCACAGGATCTCCAGGTATCTTCATCCTTCGCACCTATGCATTATGGGGAAACAAGAAATCCATTCTGGGCCTTATGTTCTCGACGATACTTGTGGGCATACAGTTGCGTTCCCGCGCTCCGTACTCTGACACACCCTCACTCCAGTGCCTGGTGATCGCGGACGTGATAATGACAATAACCATTTCGAGCCGGTTGGAACGTGAGTGTCTTCAAGAAGAGCCACATGTAAATCGCTCAGTGTGGGTCGACAACAGTCCAACTATCAGATATGGGTGGCGGTTGTTACTCACTAGCCTACAACAAGATGGCTGCATTTCCTTGGACACTTCTGGTAATATTCGAGCTTGGTGAGATCACGAAGCTATAAATCTGGTCGAGTACTCACTTTCGCGCCAGAGATCATAGTACTCACCATGATTCGTGTATATTGGGCATACCGCGAAAGAGAGTGTCTGCTGCTTGATATCCTTCTACAGCACAACATTTTTTACTTCGGAACTGGGCTAGGCAAGTATTACATTTATGGCTGTCAAAACGGAATTGATACTTCAATCCTAGCACTATCAGTGATGAATATTATAACCATTGAATGGCTACCGGTGCGCACAAATCCGAATCCAACTCGATATCGGCTAAGTGTCTGATAATTTTTTCACCCAGTTCACCGCCTCAGATATGTTCGGGACATTCCAAATCGTCATGCACACGATCGTTGTTACTCGGATGCACCTACAGTTTTGCAGCACCAGTCCGGTTTCCGACTCATCGGAGTCCGGAGCCACATCATTCTCTCAATTGACACATGTTGAACTTCAGACGTGTTCGCACTCAGATGCATGATGATTCAATGGAACTTTTCATTCAGACATTCTTTTTTCCTGTTGTGTTGCAACGAGTCCACGTCTGTTAGTCTATAAGGAAAAGGTGAGGGCTACAGGGTAGCACGATGGTGCTTACTAGTTACTTGCTAGGCTAACGAGTGAGAGGTGCACAAAATTCCTGGAGTTTGAGAACCAGTCGAAAATGTCTGGGGTCAGAGTGTGTGACGGCAGGTAGAAGTTTGTTAGACTTTAGATGGCGACCCAAGGCGAGAGTACGGATATTGTGTGTTGTATGATGAGTGCAAAAAACTCAAGGATGCAAAGGTAGATACAGATAAGTTGGAAGAGCTGGGGGACGTGCAGGCACTGAAGGCGGTTCTGAAGATAAGCTCGTCGGAGTTAGTGATGGTGCGGTGGCGATGGTTGCTGCTGGCGTTGTTCTCTGTTCCCAAGGTTTGGGTAGCGATGTCATTAGTAGTGCGCACCGTTGCCGACAACAACAACAAGAAACAAGTTCCTGTACCCTAGAAAAGGGTACAGGTATGGGGGGAAATGTCCCTGTCATGATGATGATCATAAGGATCATGTCCGTGATTTGCTTCATGTACATGTGTGTGATGTGTTTTGTATATCCCAAGCTATTGGGTTTAAGCTTCTGAAGACTCGTCATCTTCATTCTAATACAGCTTTGCCCGAGCCTTTTACTGTGTCACATCCGGAACGCAATAGAGCGTCTCAGCACTATGCTTGTTCTATCACTACTGAATCCAAATCTATCGCTGTGTCTGGAGATATTGATGCTGCTCGACACCGTGATGCCTATGATCCAAACTCTGGATATACTATGGATTTTCCCGATGTCCTATCTTTTGACAATAAATTGGACATTATTGGTGACTAGATGAGTTTTGAATCATTAAAACATGGTTGCTGTGCTGTATGTGCACATAATATACACATCTTTCTGCGCTTTCTCTTTTTCTTACGGCTGTATTAGTGCACTTCAGGCTCACTAAGTTGTCATGTATTGCTGGTCCAAATCTTGATAAAACTTCCCGTCGCGCATTTTATGTAAGCAGAACAAGTTGAATGTAACAAAGGTACATGCAGGTTACCATGCCCAAAGGGCCTTTGCGAATATTCATGAATCTGACACCGGCTAACGCCGGCCTTCAGCAAAATCACATTCACAATTGTACGGCGCACGGTACAGTGCGGTTCAACTGTCTTCCAGACTGCAACCTGCTATTAACCCTAGTCAATAACAGTTTATTTCGCCAGTGTGGTCTATCTTGAGTTTCCTGCCCTGTCGGCTCTTGTGAAATAGTCTTCCTTAGTTAGATCATAACAGAATGAAGACAATCGTTCCTTCTCATCGTGATATGATGCCACAATTACCAACTATCGTCATTGACAGGAAGGATCTTCAAACCCACCGCAGTTGGAAGCAAGAAAGTGTCGACGACTATCTCATAGTCCATCATCTCGTAGCGCCTCTAGCGCTCTTAGTATCCCACGCGCTACATCTTCGTTCTTCTTCTCCAGCGCTTTACCTCTCCGTCTTTCCTCATCTTGCCCTCCCCCGCTGCGCTCTCGATCCACATCTGGACTCATATCTATATCTACAATATCGCCTTCGTCACTGAGTTTTCCCTCAAGATCGTCATACAGCGCCAAAAAGTCTCGCACGTCTCTAATGAGCGTCTCGATGAAGACGTCGCCAAATATCAGTGATCGGTTGGTACGTAGCACTCGAATCTCACGCGGAGCTGTGGGCGTGCAGAGGAGGCCGAGAAGGACAGCGGTATACCCTGCCAGGAAAGTGAGTTCGGGAGAATGAGCCATGCTGGATGTGTTCAATGCGGGTTGGGAGGAAGCAGTTTTACGTCTGAGAGAGGTGAAGGGGGAGCTAGGGCTTGCAGAGGGAGAATTTTGCTTCCGACGTGTAGATGGCGGCTTTTGCCTGGTACCCAAGGTCGGTTTACGTTCATGGCCAGGCACAGTTTTTGGTTTCCGCGATGAAGAATCAGTCGATACAGGTACGGAACTGCCAAATGCCTGATACACAGACACCAAACACGAGAGCAGCGGTACTTGTGAAGATTGAGGGCATGAACAGATATGCGAGCAGCTGCGAGTGGCAGAGCAGGCGCGATTGAGAACTATGTGGGGAGTGTAAGTGACGGGGAAAAGCGTCATCGACGAAAATTCGGCAGTGGGAGAGAAAGAAATACTCACGAATGCGTCCTATCCCCTCGCTCACTCCTCCACCCTCGATGCCCCCAGACGCCCAGTTCAGAAGCAACCCAAGCGCCAGACAAAGCAAGTCGAAAGACTCAACACGTGTGAGGGTATACGGCGGAACTGATGTGGCCTTGCTTTTCCCTTTACTCGTGTCATTTCCTTCGTTTGGTATATTGGTACCTTTATTCGGTGCGCCGTTTCCATGCAACGTGCCATGCCTGCCAAGTTTACTTGGCGCATTGGTTTTGCTCGAAGGTTTATGTGCAAGTTTGGACGGTGAAGGAACAGGAAATGATGTCCGTTTTCGAGGGGAACGTGTAGATTCACGTCGGGAGCCAGGTAAAGATGGGGAAGAAGTACCTATATCCTCCAGCTCCTCCGGTTTCACCGCATGTCGTTCGCTCCCCTGTGTTGCTTCGTCGTCCTGTTCTCCTTGAACCCCATCACTGCCGAGACTCCCAAGCCATCCAGCTTGTGCACGTAATACCACGCGAGTAATCAGGGATAGGGCTGTGTCGCTTGGCATCCAGGAACCATGAAGGGTATCAGAATATGTCGGGGACGAGCGAGAGTATGAAGATGAAGGACTAGGCTGAGAGGATGTGGAGGATGGGAGAAGCGTAAGGATACGGAGGGTCGAGAATAGCGTTTTGCGTGCTGTTGAAGGGAGCGTGAGTTTCTCATTCATCCCTGTTGACATTCATGATGGGAGGAAAGGCGAGTATCTGGGTAATATTTGGGATAATGGTTTGGAGAAGAGTTCGGGAAGGAGGCAGGGAATTGAAGTGAAGAGAGGAAGAGGACCAAAAACGCACCAAGCTCATTCTGGCCTTCCTCTGCATCCTCTTCCTTGTTCATTGTATCCAAATACCGTACAGAGTCTCGTACGAGAATCTCAGTAGCCACGCACAACTCCACGAGTTTGTCTGTAAGTACTGGGTCCGCCAGCGCACGGTGTATTTCTGATTGTTCTTTAGACCCATGTGAACCATTACTTGCGACACCAGAACGCGATGGAACAGGGCCCATACACTCTTCCAAGAGGTAGGTGTCCATGAGGCGGAGACAGGCATGAATGTGAGCAAGGGAGGGAGTAGCGATGTCTATTGGGGGGTCTGAGGGTTTTTGTGTTTCCTTTCCTTTCCCATTTCTTATTACATTCCCATTTTTCCCTAATCCTATATCCGAGCCTATATAGTTAGGGAATAGCTCCAGACCCCTCTCCCAAGCACTGACGCGCGGAGGTACGAGCAGAAGCTCTGCACGGAGGGAGTTGAGGATTGATGGGAGGGTCTGAAATGCAGGCGGAAGGAGAGAAGCCGGCAAGGACGAGAGTGCAGTGCTTATCAGGGTACGGGTGGAGAGCTATGATGTTCATAACGAACAATCAAACGTTCGTAGCAACAGAAGTACAACACGGGTCGGGTGCAAACGAAATGAAGAGCAATGAACAAGGGAATCAAAATGAAAGGAACGACAGTATAACGTACCCCACGTGCATCCTTCATCACTCCTGATTTCACAATCACGTCTGCAAGGGCTTGGAGCTACCGCCGATGGTCAACATGACGCGAATGCCGATTCAATGTCACGAAAATTACTCACCGGCGCCACGTCTGTCCTGATTATGCCTGATGCTCTCAGCCCTATGGCATCTAACCCTGACAGGGCGAGTGCAAGGATGTCTTTCTTTAGACCTGGATGGTTTGTCAGCGAGTGGTTACATTGATCGATATCAAGAACAAATTCTGTCGGAGAAGTTCATGGAGTTATTTAACATACCCTGATTGAGCCCATCACCCTTCAGGTCGGAGGTGGGAGTGAGGGAGCGTAGGATATCGAGGAGGGTGGGAACGAGTTCCGGTTTATGAGCAAGTTCGGAAAGGGTTTGGGGGTCGCGGGTAGAAAGGAGCGCAAAAAAGGAGAGGGTGGCATCAAGAATCTACGGAAGGTTGAGTTCATGTTTCGTAGCAAATGACATCGAAAGAGTCGACAGGCTTGAAATAAAGGATATGAACAAACTTTATCTGGACCGTCTCCGCGGGCTTTGAGGAATACATCCCAAGTGCGAGCATAAAAATCAGATGTTTTCGCACGGCGGTTGAATTCGGGGTCGCATAGTTTAGTAACAATTTCCAAGACACTGATCACGGTGAAAATGAGCTTTAGTGAGTTCGTTACCGGAGAACGCCAGTACGCACCTGGCTCTACGGAGTGCAATAGCACAACCACTTTCTATGCCTTCAAATAGATACCCTACCTCGTCAAGAAATCGTCTGCTCTCGCCCTTGCTTCGCAACTCCGTGATACTCTTGAGATCATTCATCATCCCATTCGCTAGCATCCGCGAACCCACGCTAGGGGTCTTCTTCAATGTCCGAGTATCATTGTCGAAAGGTCGTGGATCGTCCTCAGAGTTGTCGACACCCCACCGAGACCGCAAGTCAGCATAAGATTCACGCGTGTCGTCTGGCTCTGCGAGATCAGCTGCCGGAAGCGCAATACGGTACGAACGTGATGCGCCAGCATATGTCCGTGTGTGCTTTGTCAGTAGGGGTTTACTCTGTGTTGGGGAAGGTGAACGCGAGGAAGCTATCTTCGGTGGAAAAGAATGGACAGGAAGTGTATTAGACGATGCTAGAGGACGTAGTGATATTAGCGTCACTAAACTCAGTAGGGTGATTAAGACACACGGGTTAATGAGCGAAAATCATGACCGGCATTATGATCAACAGACGGCTCCGTGCGTGAGCGTGACAGCATACGCTTCACCACTCCGAGCGACCTTCCAGGTGAATTCGGCGTCTGATGCGGAGACGCGGGGAACAACGTGCTCAGATCCCGAGCTGGCTTAGTCGGCGTACGAATGTTCGGCGGCGTGCTCGAAATTGAGACCACATCAGGCATCGTCGTACTTCTTCGAATAGGACTGGTTACTTTAGGTGGTGATAAATGCGCACTGGACGTCGGCTGCACGATCTCAACCTCGATTCTGGGTCGTTTCCGCGGTGGCGAAAGCACAACCTCCGCATCTGGTGAGTCTGGTCGCGCACGGCGTGAGTTCTTACGTCCGTATGTCCTTTTCATTGTCGCTGTGGTCGTCGTAGAATATAGTTGTGGATCGTGGTAGACAGCGAGCTCTTGTCGGAATCCGGCCGGGTGCATCGGCGCGCGCGATGCACACGCACGTGACCTTCTCAAACCTCGATCTCTCTCCAAGACCACCTCGACCGCGATGGAAAGCCTTCAAGCACGCATCGACTCCTTTCTTAAATCCAAGCGCGTAAAGAAGAGTTCAAAATCCAACTCTACCTCCGCAACCGTGAAATGGCCTCATCCTTCCTCCTTCAACGCTAACCCGCACACCCTTGCCGAAGCAGGTTTCTACTGGGTACCAAGCTGGGAAGACAGGGATAGCGTGGCTTGCTTTCTGTGTCACAAAGAGCTGAGCGACTGGGATGAGGAGGATAATCCTTTCCTGATTCATTGGCAGAAGTGTGGCAGTACCTGTGCATGGGCAATAGTCCGGTGCGGACTCAGTGAGGATATTACAGAGGATGGGAGGTGGGTTCACGCGTCTTCTGTACATAAGAGATACTTATGAAAAAACTAGCTTTGTTTTCTTGAACAAGAAACGCTTACCAACGAGCAAGGCGATGGAGAAGGCACGTCTTCAGACATTCGGCGAAAACTTGTGGCCTCATGACGAGCAAGATAACCACGGCGCTAGCTCAAAGAAGGTGTGTCCCCACGCTCATTTGTGCTGTACTTTAAATCTCATTCGTCATCTTTAGATGGCTCAGGGAGGGTTCGTGTATACCCCTCAAACAAAGGGTGATGATACTGTGACCTGCTTGTATTGCAACCTCTCACTGGGTGGCTGGGACACTGACGATGATCCAATGTGGGTACATGAAGTTCTCCCCTTGAGACGTAAGGTGACCCATCCATGACAGAGGGGAACATAAGACACGTGACACCAAATCCGGTACTCGATGCCCGTTTTTCAGCACATCAGGTAGCAAACCCCGCACTGTTTCACGAGCACGGACGAAGAAAGGGGCAATTGATGTTTCACCCGATCCCAAACCTGAACAGTCCGACTCGGGTGACGAACTCGCGAAGGCAGAGATTGTCGAGGAGGTGCAAGTACCCAAGACAAAGCGAAAGGGACGCGCTGTCTCCACATCCAAACCACCAGCGAAGACTAAAGCAACGGGCAAGAAGGCTCCGGTGAGATCGTCCAAGTCAGCACTGGCAAACGTATCCGAGGCTCAGGTGGTGGCCTCAGAATCTGAGATGGACCCTATCATATCGGAAACAGAAAGTATCCCATTGGAAGCAAAGGTCGACGTGCCTGCTAGAACGGACGATGCTCCTGTACAACGAGTACCCATTCAGGACGATCTTCACAGCGAACAATACCCGAGCGATTCAGTGGACAATCTTAGAAACACGGCTCGTCCTCCCCCGCGACCTGAGACCCCTCATGACAATGATGCACCTATGATTGTCGATGAGACGCCACAATCATACGACCCATCCCTTCCCAGTCCACCCCACCCTCCGACATCACTCCCACCTTCTCAATCTCTAGAACTCGCAGCCATTCCTTCTCTCCAACCAGAAACGCTCACTCCTGAAGAGCGATGTCTTACTGTCGAGCAATGGATAAGACGGGAAATCGAAACTAGCTATGAGCAACTCATGCAGGATGGGAAGAAGCAGATATCACTATTCGCAGGGAGGGCAAGAGAAGTCCGGCAGATTATTGAAGCACTATGATTGAGTTATGTTATCACGTCCGTAGGATAGCTTTCTGGGTTGCCCATTATTTATTGAAGTATATTTATTTCGAGTCCGCAGTGAAAACCTAAATGCCGCGTTAGAGCATGCAATGATGCCTCGTATGACAGTCCTGACGACGTTGAAAAGCGTAGTGGCATGTCCTAGAGTCATGAATCCTGGAGTAAACCGACCTGATACAAGCTCTAGAGACTAAAACCTCTGTTTCGTACGTGTTCCCTAAAGGGCGATCTTGAACTCTTGCCTAATTTAGAATTTTTAGATTTGCCATTGAAGACCCTAGGGGAGAGGCTCGAGTTCGAGCAAAGGCTAAGTTGACAGGCAGGCGTCACTAGAGGCAGCTGGATTATATTGACTTTTATTTTAGACACTCAGACGGATCAACTGGAAACAAAGAGCGTGCATTGACATTTTGCTAATAAAGGAACTCTGGAGCCCGAGTAAAACTATAACAAACTGATAGCGACCGCGTCCAAAGCTAGCGCTCATCCCTCCATCGCAAGCGGGCTTCCCCAGCTTCAAAGCTCAGAGGAAGATATTGATGGGCGTGCAGCCGATGTTGACGAGGCCGTCCTGCAGATCGTTAAGCAGAATATAGACAACGAAGGTTGAATACGTACGTATGACTCGTTGCTGCAGCAGACGGGCTGCTGGAGACAGTTGGCACCGTCACCAGTGCCAACGACGCTGATTGGGCTGCAGCCGAGACCGACGTCACCGAGGACGTCAGCGAAGATGGGGATTTCCCCATACATCGTCGCGTTCTTGTTGTACTCATCGACCTAGTATCGATATAAATACGAGGTGTAGAAACGGTGCGCTGTATATATCAAACTCACCGGCTGAGTCGACTGACAACATTGGATGCTGCCGGTGTTGCACTGGCCGCTGGAGTCGCGCAGAGCGAGGGGCGTGGCGATAGCCAGAACAGCAAGGGACGTGATAGACAGGATACGAACAAACATATTTATGAGAGTAAAGGTTGGTTTTTGGATTCTTTCGAAAGAGCGTTGAAGTTGGGTGATCAAGGAGCTGAGGGCGACTTGAACTGAAGAATAATTGAGCCAACCCGCCAGACTTTATACCTGCGGAGAGCCCCTGTGACTTCGGGATCTCATCACAGTCACCGAGCCCCGCCGTGTCGGCATCATGGTTGCACTCAATGCCAACGGTGTATATCCATAAGCGCATCTTCTATGTTGCGACTGGAATCCTGGTGAATCACTCCTCATTGGTCGGTCATCACGTGATACCGACGGCCACACTTCTCCCATCAGACAGCTTTGCAAATTGCCGAGCTCTCCGCTCCATGGTTATGAAAGAAACCCGAGAGGGGGTAGCCTCGATACACCACGTTGCTCCCGCCAGTACCATTCCAGTACCGCGCTTGTGAATAACTAGCACCGTATGTTTTTTACGATAGGTTCGTCCAAGGGAGACCACTCCGAATCGGTCATATCTACTGTTTGACGCTGTGACTTGACTTCAAAGCTAAACGTACTGCTCTGGAGCATTTTCTACTTATTGCGATGCATGCCATTGGTATCCCTTCTTTGATGGTTCTCAACAGGCATCTAGGTCCGGGACAGTTTTGGCATTCCCCTCTCCGCTCCACGGCATTGAAAGAAACCCGAGGAGCGGTCTCCGCGACGCAAGACTCAAATACCGCGCTTACATACTTACTGCGAAGGAACGAAGCAACGACCGTCTTCCTTCGATCAGTCCGAACCTATGGAAGACAACTCGGTCAGTCTACATCATGAGGGTGACCTCGCCGAAGCAGCGGTCAAGTTTCAACGTATTGAATAACAAGTACTGGCTCAAGCCGATATGCTGAGCTCCGCATCGGACCCCCAAGGTGAAATTTAAATATATTTGTCAGGCAGGATTCTCACAGCCGCTATTATAGGAGGAACGAGGAAGGCTGGTCCGCGTACATCTCGAAATCAGGTAATCCAAGGCATACGCTAACAGTTATGTGTGGTAACTGCGGGTTGAAATTTCTAACTTGTTGCTTCGACTTGGGCCTGTTGACCCTTCTTGCCCAAGTCTGTACTCTGAACGCGTTATTATATGATTATTATATATGCGTACACCATCTTACTGTCTCTCCTCTGTCCTCCTGACTCATTGCATGCGTCTGGTGGAGACTGGCAACGACCAGTCTAAACAAGAACCTTGACCTGGGATGTCCCAATATCTGTCTTTTGCGCATTTTCATATGCGGAACCATGCAAAGTCTTCTGCACGAAACGTATAGTTGGTGCCTGGTCTGTTACCGATGATGTTCCTTTCGAAAACCTTGCGCCACTAGGTTGGTTTGAACATTATTATTCCCGCATATATTGTGGCGCCAACTCCAAACGTTCGTTTCCTGATTTCTACTCAATATTCCAGTGCCTGTTGGTACAGCGGCACGAGACTCTGCGAATTGACAGATTGATCGTTTGTGCACGGCAGATTTATCGATTACTATAATAGTCACTCTGGTTAATCTTGACTTCGTACGTGTCTCATATATATGCAAGAAGGTACACTTCCAACGCGCTGATGAGTCGACTGCCAGTGCCACAGTCGAAGACGACGAACTTAATTCCTCATTCGAAGATAATATATATAAGAGATGAATTCATCCATTCTCTGAGAGGTTCTGACACCTCGATGCGTTATAAAAATTGGCTTGCAGTCAACCTAGCGAGCCGTCCTCACCAATAAAGAGATGGTTTACGGACGAGACGCATTACGAACGACTCCCCCGACGAAGCCTGCAGCCCAGGAGCGCCTCACCATGTCATGTCAGAAGAGATCAGGCTAATACTAATGAAACGACGACATGCAGGTATTGCAGAGAGTGAGGAAACACTTTTTCAAGTACGTTAACTGATGCTGAGAAATGATGCTATGAGTCGTTTCCATCCCGTACTTCGCTGTGGGTATGGCTGATAATAAATCAATACTAGGTGCTTTTTCTATCCTGTGAAATTGTTACCGTAGCTGAGCAAATTGATGTCTATGTAGGTAAGTTACTCGAGACACACATCGAACTTACCGGTTACCGGTTACGTGCATATGCCCGGTCAACTTGGATTGGTAATGGTACTTTGTACGTACTGTAGTAACTGTACCTAGCGATGTCAGTTGTATAACGAACAACTTGAACTCTCAAATAACGGGCGTTAACTGCTTAGACTTGGCACTATTATTTTCACATATCTGAAGGTTAAAGTCATAGTATACTAAATATCTGGAGAGCGACCCGGACTCCGTCAGCGCACGATCGAACCAGTGGAACCAGACGCCATGTCTCTCATCAGTGATCCAGGGTACGCCTGGTAAGGTCTGGATGATCCCAATGGTTCACTCATGCCCTTGATACACAGATATTTAGTTCACAGTCTAAGACTGTCTTATCTGCGTAACGTCGATGACCCTTACGGCGCGCGTATAATCTCCCTAAGCCCATCCTATACGTCAAACTCTTATATTGTCGCAGCATCACTCGCCGATGTTCATCGTTGGCCAGAACTCGAATACCCCTCAAGTCCGCCTATATCAGACGATGAATCGGAGGCTCCTGATAAGTCCTCGCCGGGTTTCCCTGGGGCCACTGGTCTTAAGCATCACCAAACAATCATGGGCAACAGATCGGGAGCGTTTGGCTTGAGAGTATCAGGTCGACGTGCTTCTACATCAAAGCGAGCCTCTCTCATCGCAAAGAGAGCCGGCATACATAACGAGGGAGCAGATGCTCCCGCTGCCCTGCCGCGCGTCAACTTCATAAATGCTAGTGACGTTGATTCATGTCCAATCACTTCAGAACAAACTGATGTTTCACAACCTCTACCTCAACCCGCACTAAAGAAAGACGACCCCCCTCCTGAGCTACCCCCGAAGGATATTCCATTTGTGCCGAAGTTCAAAGGTGCGGCCGAAATGGAGGCCAGGCGCAGGGTACGAATGATGGCGCGCCGCGGCGTCCCAGCTTCTATGCCAAAGATTCCCTCCGTAACGATACGTGGCCTCAATCCCGATCTCTCTTCATCCGATGATGAGGATGGCATGTTGGAAGATGATAACGATGACGATTATGATTTGGTTGCCCCAGGAGACGATAATATGGATGAAGTTGACGAATTTGATCCGTACGGTGTTGTATAATTTACTTAGTTGCAAAGCTCACCGCCTTGTATATAGAGATTTTGCTGCCACCCGAGGCATGCACTCGGACAGCGCATCTGATGGGGTCTCCCTTCTCTCAGGGACCGCCTCAGTAATGTCTGGATCTAATTTATCCACCCTTGGAACATCACCGTTCGTTGCTCCCTACTCCCGAGCACGCTCGCGACTCAGCCCTGTATCTGAACATCGTGCTACAGACAACAATGACGAAGGGTGTCTTCCAACCCTTCATTCTAAGCCCATCGAAACTCACTTCGAGATGATCAGTCCGGTGTCGAAGCCTGATCAGCGATCTGAACCACCACCCCCCAAACACGAAACTCGCAGAAGAGGCGTCTCAATATCACTACCTGTTATCGACGCTCCATCCGATATGACATTCACACGCAAGCCTGTCGCGCCAGCGCTCCCGCACGCATCCGCTCTCACCGCTATCCTTGCTTCATCAGGCGGTCCCGCCAACCCATTCAGTGAACTGTATGGTGTCATATCTGGACGGGGAGAGACGGCCTCAGTAGATGTCAAGGTTTTCTTTCCGCATGCCGAAGAACCTCGTGGTGAACATGTGACTCTGAACGTGCGGAAAGACGCAACTATCGAGGAAGTCATCGGTTTCGCTTTATGGACTTACTGGGACGAGCGATGGCTACCTGAACTTAATGCAGGTGTTAAGGAGGACGACCCAAAGCTCTCTGCAATAGGTTGGATCATGCGCATTGCAGAGGACGACGGCGAGGTCGATGAGGATTTCCCGCGTATGTCCAGTTGGTCGCTTGCCGTAGCAGAAGATTTATCCTTTTCTTTCACAGCACCCGACCGCACAGGCAAGATCTCGAAATTTGGTTTTGAGGCATTCGCTATTCTACCTGCAACCCCGCTGCAAAGTACGACACCCTTTTTCTTCGTTTGTCAATGCTAATTATGCCCCTCAGTACAACAAAATGAACAGCTGGAGACCAAGATACAGCGACGGCCCTCGAGAGTTATGTCAGCGCCAAAGAAACAGGATTCAGGACCTCCAGGCGGCTTGGTGTTGCCGTCCGTTTCCGGTCCTGCAAGTGCGATGTTCGGTACAACTCCAATCTTATCATCTTCTTTGGGTCCTTCGTCGAGCCATGGCCCCCAGTTATTTTTGCGTATTCGCGTTGCAGACACCGCTGATGCAGTTCATATATCTACCACCATCCCTGTGTAAGTTACATTTGGCTATGTTGCTCTCTACCCCACTCACCACTGAGCACAGATCGGCGGGTATGTACATGCAGGAGGTACTCGAAGTGGTTTGCCGGAAGCGCAAACTGGCAAACCTCAAGGACTATGCTCTGATCGTCAACGAACTAAACATGCTGGCGTACCTCGACCGCACGGTCGCTAGTCTCGGAGGTAGACGAGAGCTGACGCTAGTCAAGAGATCCATACTCCCTCAATTGGGCATCGAGCCCGAAAGCAGATCAGGACGCACCACTGACCCGAATGGTACTGGTAACCATCTTGCGCTCAGAATAGCTGCTAAGTGTTTTTCTTTCTCCAGCTTCTATTTCCAAACGGATATCGGAAGTCCCAGAGATGCAACTAAGCACTGCGGCGGACTACGCGACAGCATACAAGGTTCGTTATCCTTCCTGATGGGTGTTCCTCACGGTGTTAATTTTCGACAAAAGAAATACACCATTTACCGCAAAATGCCTATGCTAGCTCGTCAGGAACGCACTTTGGCTATTGATGGTGTTTATATCCATGTAAGATCCTCCATCATCACCAAAGCTCGGAAATAACAGTCTTCCTCCAGATCATGCCATCCACAAACAAGGCCAAAGCGGTCTTTGATAGTGGAAAGACGGTGTCATTCCATATCAAGAGCATCATCCAATGTCAGCAGTCCGCAAAACCGTTGACGCTGTTCAAGATCGTTGTACAACGGGACAGCGGGAGCAAACGCTACGACTTTGAGGCGGATACGCCGAAGCTTGCGAGTGAGTTGAGGTATTCGTTATTGTTGTTCTGCCGAACTGATGGTGGTAACAGATGAGATTGTGCAGACCTTACGGATGCTGAAATCCCATTTGGATCGTTCCAGTACTGTCAACCGCTTGCGGCGCAGTAGACAGGTAGTATAAACAAAACATGGGTCCTTGTTTTGTGTCACTGCACCACTATAATTGTATTCAATTCCCTGAGCTTCTTCCCTGCCGAAGAACTCACGAAGCCGGAGACATCATTGACTGGCAAGTGAGCGCTGGGCGACAACTCCGGAAGGTGCGCAATTACTGGGACAACGGATTCTACGAGCATGATCATTACACGAGACAATATAATGCACACACGTAACTGGTAAGTGTGTTGTGTTTCATCCAGGACGATGTGACTTGTGTGATTTCTCGCTCTCTGATGAATATACGGAGTGCTGGCATCGACAATGAGTTCCGCACACCGGGTCAACCATTCCTTTTATCTTATCGAGTGCAGAACAGATCACTTGTCCTAAAAGCCCCTAGGGGTCTGGCTCGCTCGTTGAGCATGCAAATTAAACCCTGTCTCGAGACGTTTAAATGATGGTCTCAGTCAACAGTACTAGCAATGGGTCATTTTCATTATGAAGAGCTATTCGTAATAATCAAGAGGCGGAGGGAGGGATACAGGCGGTTACATTTGGAGGATATAGGTCCCTGACAATAACAGGTTTTTGATTGCTGAGCTTGCTGGTTATTTGGCCAGTCATACCTGACACCTCGGAAGAATTGGAATTTGCCTGGCCTTCTGAGCGCGACACGTGCGTTGACGAGGATTGCATCCAACTGTAATAGGCGCCATATAGTACGTACGTAGTACAATATGCATTACACCACACATGGAGATATCGTTAAAGACGACGCAAAGAATCCCATCATAAGTCAACAATGATAGGCAATTCGCATGCTTATTCTCCAGCCTAAGAGCCCACAATAATGGACAGATGTCAGGCGAGATTAACGGACATAATTTTCGTGGAGATGAAGCAACGATCTCCTGAATGCGCACTTAAGCTCCACTCGAAGAAGATTCTATAAGGCGCTTGAGGAAGTTTGCGGGCTGTGTTTATGCATGGACAGGCACTATGCATCAAAACGGCGAATCATACGATGCGGTGGTTAAAAAGTGAGTAACGCTTATGAGTCCAGGAATGAGGGTGCCATCGCAGTTGCCGCCTTAGGTCTATGTCGGCGCTAGGTCGGATGCACAGACGCTAGTCCATAGTAGCTGATCTGAACGTTGGACTTCGCGAAGAAATAACGGACTTCTTCGACCTACAGACACAACATCAAACAACGGGAATACATAAATGGGCAGACTGCAGGGAGGTCAATTAGCTTCAAATCCACCCCGTTGTATACATACACACCAACACTACCAGTCAACTCGATACAAGATGCTGAAACGTATCGTAGCTCTGTTATCCTTGACGATCCTGGTTGTGGCAAACGACTCGCAGTGCGACACAGGAACTATTATGTGCTGTGACACGAAATCCACGGTAGATCACCAAAATATTGCTCAGCAAGTGATTACTGACCTCCATTCCATAACAGTCCTCCGAGGCGGTAGAATATTTCGCGCAGGGGGGGATTGTCAAGCGTCGAGCAAAGAACGAATGCTCGGGGGTTAGCGCTGTGGGCACCTCCCAAGGCTGCAGTGCGAACCAGGAACCCCTATGCTGCGAAAAGGTCGATACCGTGAGTGCATCAGTCTTGTCAAAGTATACCCGACTTGACCGTTCTTTCAGAATGGTCTGGTCAATTTCAGTTGTTCGCCTATTAACGTCAATGCGTGATGACCGAGGAACTTGTATGTTGGAGTGCGGGCGAAGGATGGACTCCCGCAGTTGTATCGACGAGGACTACTGTAGTATCGAGTCTGCAGCATAGACAGATCCAGGCCTGGCCATAGAATTATTAGATGCTATACAGACCCTGAGCTCAGTGCTCACCAAGCAACGCGTGAAGATTCAAGAAGCTAGAGTCTAGACAGACACCTCGACGAGGCAACCAGAATCTGTCATGACACTGAAGTTGAACGCAAAAAGTGGTCCTTTGAGAAAATATTCAGGATGAAAGATTTAACATGTAGCAGTGCCCATGTGGCATGGGCGCCGCCACAGTACCCCGAGGATAAATCTCCTAGGATCTCGGGCATGAGTTCGGGTGGCGAATACAACGATCGCGGTCACATCGTCACGAGACGGTCGCATACGTACGTAGCATCGAGTCTAGACTTTGGAATTAGAGTCATCAGTAGCGTAGTCAACGAATTAAAATCATTCATCGTTTATGAGGTCGTCGGGACCCCGGGTAGTGGATGCAATCGCGGTCACATGACGGCCGCGTCTTCATAACGTAGGCATCGGATTTAGACTCAAATAAGTTGTCGCCGGGTGCTTCTAAAGAGTATTCATAACAACAAGGTGCACAAGGGTGCGTCTGGACTCTGGTGCCGCATACCCTGGAGAATACAACGTAGCAGGCTCATCGCTCTCAACCCATCAACACGATCGCCACCATCTTCGCACTCTCCCTATCATCGCTCTAGCAGTCGCGTAGCCGTGCAACACTGCCAGTTCAAATTTCTATATTGCGCTCCAAACCGGGATGATTAACCGCTTAAGCTCGTCAATCATTTATAACATACTAGTAGTCTTAATAAGATAGCAATTGACACGCTGTTAACGTGGATCACAATCAGAAATCGCCGTGTCCACGGCGAGGAAGTGATTGTGCTCAGGATATCATCTATGTCATCACATCGCGCAGCCGCAAGGCTGAGCGGAAGTGTGAAGAATTTTGATTATGGGCACACTGGCAGGGCTGCAAACGCCGACATAAACAACCAAGATAAATCTTTCATAATCAAATCAACCCACAGATACAGCGCAAGCGTCGGACATTCGTCGCACGCCATGTTCACTAGCGCAAATCGACCGATCAAATTTCAAAGGCGAAAATGGAGATTCTCACCTCTGAATTTCTGATAGTATTCTGTAAACAGTGATGGAGAAAACATAAAAGCAAGGCAAAAAAGTGAAAGGGCTCCCCATCTCCCATCTCTGCCCACTCACTCATTCAGCTTCTCTCACCAAAAATAATCTTCAGCATCTTCGCCCTGCTCAAAGTCAATGCGACACTGGTGCGATCGAGTGTTGTAACAAAGACACCATAGTGAGCTTAGTCCAATGAAAAGCATGCAATGATCTCCTAATTGAAATTTTTGTAGTATCCACAAACAGAGCCTACCTTGACTGAGCTCGGCCTGGTTGACATCGCTGCGGTAGTGGACGCATTTGTGGCTCTCTCGTGCTCTGGCATCAGCGTTGTCGGTACTTCCAATGGCTGTACGGCAAACCAGGAGCCCCTGTGCTGCGAGAATGAGAAATACGTGAGTACCAAAGCTATGGATCTAGGATTTAACCAATGTACTCTCTCCAGAATGGTGCCGTCAATATTGGCTGCACTCCCATCAACGTCGGCCTGTAAACAACGGATGACCGCGTAGGGTGGAACTAGCAGGTCGTGGCTGTGTGGAACACTACCTTATTTCGAATATTATTCTTGTGTCATTTTGCTCCTTGTTTCAAGTTGTTTGTGAGCCCATCCACTACCATGATACCTTTTTGTCCACCAATGGAACTGTTGCTGCCTGTCTTTTCCTTATGGTCAAATGAGTTCATTAGCACAGGCTCTCCAAGACTTATGACATTGTGACTACAGTTGCGCCTAAGCAAATTTGCAGCGCACCTTATATCGACGATGTAATCACCAAGGCTATTAGCTCAGGACACCAATTTCCGAAAATTGCGAAGGTACTGACCATGAAAAATATGCACACGCCTCAGATGTTTGTCAAGTGATGGACGAATCTATATGACATGTAGGACAGAACTAGGGTAAATTTAGCTTCTACGACGGAACAAACCATGACTCCTGTTGCGCACCAACGAAAGGCCCTCGATAGGATCAACGAGCTCGACAAATCACTTCCCCATCCAGATTTAACTGCAAAGCCTCTCGTGCCTCCAACCATTCATGTTCCTTGCTTTTTGTCCGCACCACCGCAATTTCACCCATGCCCAGTGGTTTAATCGTCTGTGCCCGGCGTCCAGAGCAAATCCGTCGCAACTCCCCGATGTCCATGAAAATGCGTCTACTGGGTCTACTAATGAGCTCCATATCCGAAAGGATAGGCCGGTCGTCACGGTATTTAAGCTCAGCCCATATACGGCGCTGGGCTTCGCCAACACGGAGGAAGTCAGTAGGAGAGGGTGATTCGATGGTCCCGCGCGTGACGTTGGAGATGAAGCCGGTCCGTAGGAGGATGCTTAAAATACCGAGGTTTTGCGTTGTGTGGTCCACCGCTATTTTGTGGTGTCGTGCTCGAAAGGCGTTTTGCACGCGAGCGCATAGGTCATGTGGTAGAGGCATTGCAACTACATCAAGTATGTCAGTATAAAACATGTGAGATGCAATTAAACGCACGAGACACTAAAGTATGGTTTTGGCTGAGTGCGGATGCAAAGGTGAAGCACAGATTCAAAAACAATTTGAAAGATTAGGTAACATTCATGGGGTCAACCCAGAGGGGTCGCACGGTGGGGTTTGTTCTAATTTCGAAATTGCGAGTGATCTAGCTAGTAGCTACCAAACATTTAAATCTGACATGGACTCCCAAACACGAAGAATTTACAGAAACTCCATGCCAATACCAACTTGGAAGCCCCTTCGCACACCATCGCTCTTGCTTGTAACAAGCGGCACCCCAAAGTTTACCTCTACCCTCACAGGATCGAAGCGGTATATAAGGCCAACTCCCACAGATATCGAGGGTTTCCTTAGACACCCTATTAGATTCTCGCTCAGTCCTTTCGCTGTCATAGGCAAAAGTGCAATCAGTATCTTTCTAGAGGGGCAAGGATCGGGTATTTACGCACTTCCGTCTATTGCATCCAACCTCCCAGCGTTCACAAAGATATGTGACTTGATGGGCCAATGAGGTTTCCGCGGGATATCGGACACCAAAGAAACGCCTGTTGACCAGTAAATGTCACCGCCAAGTGAATCAACTAGCGTGGTCAGATTAGAAAAAGGCCCTTCCCACGTGAAAATCGAGAAATACCTCCATCTCGAGGGCCCATGCTGTTTGCCCTGAACGACCTTAAACTGAGAGGGCCACCGAGCTGGAACCTATCAGAAAAATGGCTAGGGCCGGCAAGAGCCTTCAAGATGCCAGACCGTGCAGCTAATGAGAGGCTCTGCATGTTTAACGTGAAGTTATGCCATATTGACCCAACAGTAGTACGAGTCTCACCATTCCTGGAACGAGGCGCCGGGAAATTTGACTTTCAACTTCGGCCTTGTAAAATGATACGTCCCCTGACAGTCCAGCCAGTTCTTGAAAAAGTTTGCCATAGAAGCCACGCGACGCTGCGAGCTTGTCGTCTCTGGTATCTTTTGTCCACGAATGAGAGATCGATGACTTGATAGTTTGACCAGCATGTTCGCGAATACTGTATGATCCGTAAATACAGACTCGATGATTTAACGTGTTCAGCCTGACCTAACCGATGCATCTGGTGCTAAATTATTGATGTGCCTCAAAACGGCCTGATATGCAACTTCGTGGACACCATGAACTCCCCAGTTGCTCTTCAGAAGCACCGATTCAGTATTTTTGACATTTCACAGGAGAAGTAATAAAACCTACATTTATTGCAGCCTTTAAGCCGTGTGAAATCTCCGAGCAATTTGCAAAAGACGAGAGATCTCGCTCCTGGCTGAACAACGAAAGTTGGCCCGTTGTGCGCAAAGATGGAGAAAGTGGAAGGGAAAGAAGCCCGTGGAAAGAACGACGCGTTTTTGTTCCTGCTGAGTAGTGTCCTTCCAGGAACTCAGCTCCACCAAATATGTTGCGCACTCTGCCCGTGACACTCTGTGATGGCAATGAAACATGAAGGTGTCATATCGCTAATAGTAAAAAGACGATGCTCACAACGCTACCCTCATTATTACCGAATTCCGTGGCAGTTTTCAAGTAGAACCGGCCTTTTTCACGTGCGGTGACAACAATATCGACGTCACCCTCCCTGGCAAGGTGATCTCGACTCTTCTGAATTTTTGCGTCAACAGAGTGAAACAGGTCCGTCTCTTGTAGAATGTGGCTTATGCCCCTTGCAGTATACAGCGCTCCTTGCAAGTTGTTCGATTTGTGCGCCCGGTCGTCTGTATGCCGCGCAAGCCATGGCTGGATCAACCAACCTAAGAAAGACTTCCTGGTATTTGTGGCACCATCTACACGGACTGAAGTGACTGATAGTGATGTCTCGAGATTTTGGTTGACCTGTTGTTGATCCGTTCGGAGGTGATGCGGATGCGGACGAACGTGTCACTCACAAGCTCTGCAAGGTGAAAAACAGCAGACTCGTACTCCCCACGGAGTTTTCGTTCAAGGCGAGCTTCCTGCCACTTTTTCAGTTTTTCAAGATTGTCTTCCTTGGGCTCATGAGGATGCGCAGTGCGCTGCAGCGGAGGATGCAAGCCCTCCGTCATTCGAGGAAGACAATTATTTCTCTTGATTATTTTTACAACTTGTTTCCATTTCCAGCTCCGACATATTGGGAAATTGACGCGCGATCGAGATCACGTGACTTCTCACAGAGCCGAGGCGTAAATTCCTCGACATAAGTGGTGAACATCACAACATGTACAAGTTAGCAAGGCTGCCAAGGCAGCGCTCTCCGGCGAGTGCGAAAGCAAATTGAGGGTCAAGTTTTTGACATATTCACAGCCGACTGATATTGAAGGTGGGTGAAAATTTTGACACCCCTAGATTTCTGACATTTTCACGGCTGGCAGATGGTCGATGACGGAGAAGATAGCGGAAAATTTTGACCCCCCAATATTCTAGCCACTTTTACGCCGGTGAAATTTTTGGATAACACGCAGTGTCAGGCCTAGGCACCCAGGTTCTCTGCCCTGTGACCACGCGTTTCTTACTTAGCTTGCGGCCTCCATTCCATGGGGCATAACTTCGAGGAACAAACGCAGAAAAAGTTCCTGAACGGGACCGGGAATGCTCCGACACAAATTACGAACGGGGTAGCTCCACAGCCCAGCATCTCCTTCGTATCCCCAGCATCAGTAATAATGGCCAATCTGCCGACGGAGAACACTCCTCTACTATCAACTCCGATTTCTCACATAGAAGAGGGTGTGCACTATTCAAATGAAAGGGACTGTCCCAGTATCTGGGTGATATTCAAGGAGGAACTCGGCGTCCTCACGAAATACACCCTTCCCATTTTTACGTTTGTACAGATTGCAGCTTCTCATGTAGCTTTCACTAATCTTCGATCATCGCAGAACTCACCTGTTTGAGTTTAGTTTCAATATCGCTTCCATAGTAGCTATTGGGCACATCTCCACGACAGCACTTGCTGCTGCAACATTAGCCTTCATGACCGCGAGCGTATCGGGCTACGCAATCGTCCAAGGGCTAGTGTCTGCTCTTGACACACTTCTCCCTGCGGCATGGACATCTAGTCATCCGCAATTAGTCGGCTTATGGAGCCAACGCATGCGCAAGTATTATTCTTGTGCATGCCCCTACATCTAATCATTTCCGCAGTTGTTGTGACGGCCGCAACCCTTATCGTATGTGTGTCACTTTTCCACACTAATCTCCCATTGATTCGATTTCAGCCTGTTTTTTTTATTTGGTTCAACGCCGAATCCATTTTACTCCTGCTCAGACAGGATCCTGAAGTTGCGCATCTAGCTGCTGTCTACTTAAGATGGTCGACTTTTGGGCTTCCAGCATATTCTTTCAACTGCATTTCACGGTGCGATAGTATACACACTATTAGCACATTTAATGCTGACTTTCTGAGGATTACAGCCGTTACTTTCAATCTCAAGGTAATGAACGTCATATCACTAGAAGGGTTACATATTGATTGTCGATTGCTTTTGAGGACTCTTCGCTGTGCCGACTAAGATCAACTTGGTCGTGGCGCCGATCAACGCCCTCTTGAATTACTTTTTTGGTAACAGTCTTGGTTTTTTTTACGTTTCAATTGGAAGCTCATACAGCCTTCTAGTGTGGGGTCCTGAGCCGGTCAGGATTGGTTTTATTGGAGCTCCAATCGCAACTTCCATATCTTTCAATCTGATTTCAATTTCATCGGTAATATATGGCATTTTTTATGTCGAGAAGACCGCCTGGCATCCTATCTCAATGCGGAGCTTTACTGGCTTGGGCTGTCTTGTCAAGCTGGGACTCGCTGGCGTTGGTCAGACTGCGTCTGAATGGTGGTCATGGGAGCTTAATAACTGTGCGTATACTGGTATGCAACTTAAGAATCTAGATACTGATCTGCGTTTCGACAGTGGCCGCCAGTTTGTATGGGACCAAATGCATAAGTGGGCAACCTCGCTAATGTTCATTCATAGGCTCGGGCCCGCTGCCTTAGCTACCCAATCCGTTCTGCTCATCTCAAGCTCCTGTACATTTCAAGCTCCCTTCGCCCTCTCCTTGGCTACGTCTGTGCGGTATGTTGTGGCACATCCAACTGATGTTCCAGCTGATGTCCTGTAGAATTGGGAATCTTCTGGGCGAGAAGCAGGCGAGGCGCGCCGGTGTCTCCGCGTATGCCGCGATTGTTCTTGCAATTGCAATTTCAGCAATATGGAGGTACACATGCGCCAGTTTCAGGTTAAGCAGTGTTGACATACAGATAAACTTTTTAGTACCATGTTTATATCGTTCAGGAAATCGTGGGCGTATATCGTCAATGATGACCCCGGTAGGATTTCAGTGTGGTGTGCGCTCCGGTACTCATTCGGTCTCAGAGGTGGTGACGCTGGTGGCCTCGATTCTTCCGGTTGTTGCCATGTATCAAGTCTTCGATGGGATCGCTGCTGTTACTAGTGGTGTTTTGCGAGCACAGGGCAGACAAGTAAGTGCTATGTTATTTCATCTCACTCTTTGATTTAGTTCTCTTGCAGCTCGTAGGCGCACTTCTCAATCTCAGGTAAGGTCTACACACACCAGCCATGATTCTCCCGATAACCTATTTTTGCAGCGGTTACTACGTCATTGGCATTCCTTTTGGTGTTTGGTTAACTTTTAAAATGGGCATGGGACTAGTGGGACTATGGGTGGGACTCACAGTTTCCCTCATTTATTGCTCTGTCTGGGGCACTTATCTGTGTATTACAACCGACTGGCAGAAAGAGGTGAAGAAAGTTTCGGATAGGCTTGCTGTTGAGAACAAGAACGCAAACGAGGCGGAGGAAGATGGATCATCACGTTTCTAATATTCATTTATTTCATAGTTATGACTTAGAAGAAAACCGTTCGTCTGTGAACGGAAAAGTATTGTTCATATTCATTTCTTATCTACAGCAGTAGCGAAGAGTAGACGACATTTGCTGTACTAGGCTTGCTTGCATGAATGAGTGATAGTCTATTTTGTGTTCCCAAGTCATGATAGATGGGTGATGAATGATGTGTGAGACAATTCGTGATAAAACATGTATTTATATGTCCATAGAATCTTGTAAACCGGGAACTACATGAAGGCCCCTCAAAGTGCGCCGCTGGACCAGACTGATATACTGTCAGTATTCAAAAACATTACGGAGGAACACATCACACACCGTTGGAATACATCGAGTGGGCTGCCGGGACTTTCAGAACTATTAGAAAGTTCCGGGCGCTCTGTGATCGCCTTGTTGGGTATCCAACAACTCAAGGGACTGGTTCCCTCCTCATAGCTTGCGTGAGATACATACAGTAGTAATCCATCGGAGTCCACGCGCGCAATAATCGACGTAGTAGATCGTGAGGCCACTGAATCATGAGTGCCATCGATGGCCATATCATGCGAAGTGAACTCTGGTGGTGAGACATGCACGGGGATATCAACACTAATTTCTCGTGTTGATCGTGCCATAGGGATGACAAACGAAGAGAGGGAAGTCAATGTCGTATCAGTATGATATGGTATTGGGACAAAAGACGTTGGATATGGAAAGCGGTAGCGCTCGCGCTCAGAAGCAGGCATATTTAAAGATGATCCGGCATTTTGAGATGGGGTGTCCGCTGTCGTGCAAGGGGCTGTAAATGAAAATTTTCCAGATGGTAAAGGGGGCTTTGGAAGTTCTGCTAAGCGGGTATCTCTCCACCAAAACCTTCGTATAGAATGTCAGGAAGCAGACCGTTTGCATGTAATGCATGCCCACCTGAAAGGGGTCTCGCAGTCGCCGACATCTTGACCCTTCCACTTGAGCACGTCCAGGACATGAATGATGCCATTGTCTCTCCAGTTGACATCGAGAATACAATCGAGCACTGTAAGAGGTGGGAGGGAGGATGGAAATCTAGAAAGGAGCATCTTGCCCAATACACGAGATCGAAGAGTCGTATTTGGCGCTATCAGGATATGATGAGTTTGAAAGGTTCGTCCAAGAAGCTATTGCATACATATGCCAATTATTCCTGCAGACTGATGAGTAACAGCCAAGCATCGTTTCCCAGTAGGAACAGGTGCCACCGCTACCCAGGCTGCCTCTAAATCGCGTGGAAGGCCATCAATCACATCACTGGACTGATTGTCCCACAAGTGGGCTTCTTCATTCATCTCCAGGAGCTCAGCGTACATGCATTTGTCAGCCCATTTGGACGGTTTGGCTTTGATACGTTTACGTCGAATTTTCCCTCGTCGCTTCCCGGACTGCACTGTCTCGTGATTGTGTGTATCAGAGGACAAAGACGGGGTCTCCACAGGTTGTGACACCATCTGCACGAAACCGGAGACACCTTCACGTATTATCTCTGGCTCATCCTCGAGGTCACCGTCATCATCAGAGTTTCCAAGATTGAGATCGGCGAAAGCATCGAGTTGCCTGGAGGATTCAAACTTTTGTGCTCGTCTCTGTAAGACGATATTAAATATTCGAAGGAAACGCGCAAATATCCATCACACACACGCGTTTCTGTTCCTCCAAGGCCTAGCAATTGCATTCTTAGACAAGGATGATCAGAGATGAGAGTATGTCCTTTGCTCACCTTAGATCGACGCGCCTCTTGGGAGATAAGCTTGTCTGTGAATACAGTTGGTGGAGATTTGAACAGAACTTTTCTGTCGGTTTTGGCGAACATGGCCCCAAGTTCAAGTTCAGTGAGTAGTTCCAAGTGGCAAACGAAACTCCGAGAGCTGCAGCATGCATAGATGCTAGCCAGCAAATGGCCAGAAATAGTATGTATCGTCCATAAATGACTAAGCGGATTTTAGATGCTACTTGCCTTTATAATTAGAGCCAAGTCTCGGTAGTCATGCCATGCACAGGTCGGCGCCTTCAATCACGCCTCCTCTCATCAATATGTAGTTTCAAACGTTCACTGGACCTGGGCGATGAGTCCGTCACTATCAGATGTGCCACAGGACGCCACCCGCCATTGCGACTAGTGCCACTACACGGTGAAGGCTAGTGTCCATTCCTCGTTAAACTCCCGACACCTAGTACCTATATGGTACTGCCTCAGGCGATTTCGGTGCTGCTGCGCTCAGTCTGTCAAAGGCATGTACTAGAACACTTCACTTAGCTATCGGTTGCAAGTGAACCACATTCTCGAGGGCGACAAAAATTTGTCCAATATATGAGATGTAGCGCTAGCCTTCAGGGTAAAGCCAGCTATATATTGCCTGGTCACGGAAAGTGATGTCATATGTAGAAACCTGTCTGCATTTCCTTACGGTTCAGCGTACAGGTCTCTGCACGAATTCATCCTACAAAACCCGAATGCACTCCCACTAACCGGATTCTTGTCGTAACAGTCCTTCAGACACTCCAGCCTGTACAACTAGCAACGGTCACTATATGGTATACTCTGTTAAATTAGAACTGCAAAAGTTGTACCTAAACAGGACAGGATGCTCATGCGCAGCTCAGCACACAGCTAAGGTAACAAGTGGGGGACGCCGCGAGTGACATTGCCGGCCTATTCATAAGTAGTACCGAATACCAATGACCAGAAAGGAAATGTATCATGAGGTGAGTGACGAATCCCCTATGTTCGATCTCGCTGATGCGTCGGGCCAATTGCAACTTGTTCAGCACTATTCACCACAGCCTATTTTATTTTCCCATTCATTTCAATTCACGCGAAAGCTACAGTTCAGTCACTACAATGAAACGACATAGTCGTCCTTCCGTCCCTGCATTCATCGGCGCGCTAATCGTGTTCAGCATGCTGGCGGGCTTAGCACTGAAGATGCTGAGAATCACTTCATATCCAGTTCTATTTGCGCACACAACCTTGGATGACTCGCAGTCTCCCTCTAACATCACCTCAGAACAGGGCGGGTCTCCAGAGGTCGATCCCGAGCTCGACGCTCTCCGCCACATAGTTTCTCAAACAAAAGGGTTTTATGCACGCGACTACAGCCTCTGGTTAGGCTGGAATAATGTGCGTCTCAGATTCTTTTCTGAACTATGCAAGTCATGACTAACCCCCGATAGATGCGATACATCATCGAGGCAGCTGTCCTCCACGGACGTATTCTAAACCGTACTACAATCATACCCTCTTACGTCTATGCTCGTGCCTGCGAATTCGACAAGTACGTGCTATTCTTGTATCGACCTCCATATTTTAAGATTTTCCCAGCTCTGTATGCGCTGCCTATGCTACTATGGTCAATAGGGGGATGCAACCGGCAAAGACGAATGGCGCCAACTCCCCATGGAAAAACAAATGGCCTGGAGAATACCCGTGTCTCTCATGTTCAACTTAACCCATCTACGTGAGACACATGCAGTCATCACAGTATCTGATTATCTCCGCTTGCACAACATTTCGGTCGATGTGGAAACCACCAGCGGACATTGGGATACCGATTTATACCACCGCGGCGTCAACATCTTCTCTGATAGCAAGGTGGAACCCAGCCTCTACGTTATCAAGAATGAGTGGTATGACGCCGGCGTTATTCGGGTTGATCAGCTGCCACGAACTATGCGAGAGAGGGGGAGATGGAACATCACTCATGGACAAGTCGGGTCTTGGGCTACCACAGAGGAAACCCCTCTTTCAAAGGCGTTGCATGATGCAATGACATCCGGCACATCGGTTCTCGATTGGGACACTGTCCTCATAGTTGTAGGAGATAATTATGACCCGATTGAGACCGAGTCATCATCTGCTGGTGGTATCGCAAGTACATTGGAAGAGAATGGCTGGGAAGTGCTTTATACTTACGGCGGCGTGTAAGTCCATTCTCTTGTTTGGCTGGCTCTGAGAATAAGCCCATCTGCCTAGCTGTGGCTCAGACGCAACGAAAGATGTCGTGGTTCCAATCCGACAAGCAGCCCCGCGAAGCCTACTGCGTGGACTGTACGAAGACTTTGGGTTCATAGAGCAAGATGTACTTCTCCTCCGAGGTGAGGTCCATTTGGGACGGAAGCCGGTAATTTCTTTTGTCCTCATCTACAAGATGCATTAATCACATTCAGTGAATAGGGTGCCCTCAAGTTCACCACCCTTGAAAGTCGAGAGAGATACACGCAAGCAGTCCTATATGACTTTCGTCTCACAGACAATGTGATTGAGCTGGCGGATCAGCTGTCTAACCGCATGGTCGAGAAGGTTGGCGGACGGATGTGGATGGGAGCTCATATGCGACGGGGAGATTGTCAGTCCACATGTTTCTCGAATACATCGACGCTAACAACAGGTTTTCTAGTTGCGACGTTGCAATGGACTATGGAACCGAGTTTCGAAGCTCATCTCGCCCGGATCAAGCGCCATCTACGCGACGGACGTGATATCCTACATTTTGTGCATCGCGGGCCTCTCTATACCTACAAGATTCCTCTTGGTCAAGCCGATCGCACGCCTCTACTTCTAGATCCTCCTGCAGATCATGACCAGTGAGATATTTAGCTTGCTTTTGATATGGATATATATATATAATTCTCCAGATTCTACATCGCCACTGACGAACGCGATCCCACGAACCTCACATACCTGCGCGATCAAGGTGCCGTTTTAATCTCGGACCTGTTAACGATAGACGATCGCCGAACCTTTGGATGGTCCCTGATGCTCACCGACGTCCTCAGTGTGGTTGAGCAAGCAACTCTTGCCCACGCAGCATACTTCTATGCTCATGCGCACAGTTCGGTAGCCGGCGGTGTCGTAAATCTTCGTGCTTCTCATGGAGCAGATCCACGAACTGCGTTGCTGGAGACCTGACAAGTTTGACGAATTTCAGTATACTAGATTAGATATAATATGTTTGCTTGTAATGACCCGAGTAATTTGTTGGAATTAATGACGAACCAATTGGGCAGCGGATCAAAGGACTGCATCAACTGCTAGACATTTGACAGTCGTGTCGGTTACAGCGTCAATGTCGATTGACCTTCTGTCAGCTCACAAGATCACATGGATAATCGATAACATTGTTGAACATGGTCACGGTATTAGTCCTAGGACGTTAAGTTGTCGCCGAGAAACGACCGATTGGCTGCACTTTTGATAAGAGCTACGCGGACAACAACCTAGTGAAAGTCTCATTGGCGGAAGTGTTTGTGTAGCTTGTGTTCACTTTGATGGAGGTGATAAAATATCGATCTGATTGAAGTTTATAGAGTACGACGGATGACCGACTACATAGCACATGATACTAAGTTTTCAATCAGTAGAAGCAGGCACTCGATGGCATCGAAAAGACAGGGCTTGACCTCCGTCGTTAGTGCGGTGAGATCGTATTTGCGGAGATTAGGAAGCTGATTGATACCACTCACGGAATGACATATGTCAACCTGAGAGAAAGAACGAGGAAGCGACGCTCGACATATCCTTCTTACCCCTAGACCATCTTGTCAGTTCAAGGTTGAACAACTCATATCACCGCTGTCAAACTCAGTCTGCAGTTTGTCTCGACTTTTGAAAGCCTTCTGAGTGAAATTACTTGGCATAGTGTTCGATCCGAAACACGAGAGTTCAAGACCAGAAGGTTCGACGGAAAAGTAAGTGTCTTCACCACAGCCTGAGCGGAAATGAGGGGAAGTAGGTACGACGATCGAAAGAGGGATAGACAAGTACCGGCATACTCTTCTCATTTCACATTGTTCCGTCGGTGTGAAGGATCTGTAAGACGTCATTGTGAAATGTACCAGAACGAAAAAAAGAAGTTATACAAGGTTGTCCCGGCGCGCAAATAAGGAGGTGATTTCTTGAGAGGACGTTACCATTTGGAGTTGATTGATGTTGTCCAAGCCGTAAGCCAAGAGAGGTACCAGCGTCACGCCAAATACCAGACCAAGCCACCCCGTCGAAGCGCTGTAAGATCGTAACGATATAAGGTTCACTTGATCAGCGGGCCGATATAGGTCCTGCAAGGGGAATTCCAACTTGTAGATTTGAAGTTGTATAGCGAGCCTTGTCCTCGGGCAGCTGATAAGCATAATGACAAAATGATTTTTTTTACGGGCCTACATGATTGAGGTACCGTGTGGCTCAGCGCCAATATATGATAGCCTAGCCCATTGAGTGTGGACCTTCCTTCATTGGCTCAATCTGAGCCAGCCAGGATTGGCAGTAGTATGTGATGTGCGGGCATCGGCACAAGAAACTAGAGGCGGATATAAGCCCGTGCGTATGATTAAATCGTCGAAGGTGTTGCTCAGCGGAGGGCAATAAGGAAAGGGCTCCCGAACCATGGTCTAGGTCAAGTTGGACAAGAATTCCTTGGGCAGAATCTCCGGAAGTGAGTCTGGAAATTTTGACCTCAAGAATCAGTGCTGCGTTGCTCTGTGGTCAGCAACTCCAACGCTGCAGTCCACGATCATTGCAAGTGCCATAACCAAGCGCATACCAAGGGGTTCCAGCGCCCTCGAGCGCTTAGCCGAGTACGGACTGTACAAGAAATCATCGAAGCTGATTGAGAAAATGATATGCCCATTCCGAACAGTATCAATAAGTCAATACCGCAGTATCAGGTCCGACTCTGCCGCTGTAAGCAAGTCCCAACAGGATGGTTTGATGTTGATTTCAAGATCAGGAGTGTTCAATGGAATTGATCGTGAGCGTTTGAGCTGCGGCCGTGTGAAATGAATGGGCCAACAGTTATGTAATGTCGTGCCTCTTCCAGAATCCAGGCTAGAACAAGTTCGCGTGCCTGATAGCCACGTTCCACCAATCACAAGATATCTCTTGAAAACCACGGACGAAGATATTGGTATGTGAGATTCCTGGCATCAAGCCTCGCAGTCTGGATCAATCTATGGGATGGTATCGCATCTCCGCCGACACACAGCGAGTACTGGTTCCCGGGACGGTGAGCCAAGATCAATTTGAAAACATACTTATGGTTCAGCATGATAGTGGAGCAGTGAATCTTAATGAAATGAATCATGGACTTCAAATTTTGGTCATGACGAAATACCTTATTGTCCGGAGTTGCAGCGGTCTTCCCCCTGGCGCGCGTGGAGGGCCGCAGGAGCAGCACCTTGAAGCGATAGATTTTCCCCGCCCATCAACCTGGATTGTGACTGCGCATCCTAATTAATATATACGTATCACAAATGAAGTCAAACTTTGGTTATATTTCATCTTCTCCCTTCCATTTCCCGTTCTACAGATGCAGCGATGAGTAAGTGATATGCAAGTAAATGTAAATGTACGTGTATGAAAGATGCGACGGTATGACCTGAGGTACAATTGCTATCTATGCGCGAAAAGATTGTGACGTTGGGGTTGAGCGGGATCCAACTATAAACAAGAATAAGAATCACGAGAATAGTGACGTATAAACAAGATGCAGGTAGAGCACGGTATTAGGGCGGACCAACGAGACAAGACCCGAAGACATAGGTTGAATGTGACAGGAAAGGCAAGGTGTGAGTACATGTATAATTCCACAACAGATAGTGCAGATGGATGACATGGAGGATGAGGTCCACCACCAACAAGCGGAGAACCGGAGTAGGGAAAGCAGCGAGCGAGATAGTTGAGTAATGACTGAGGTGTACAATTCAATAACGAGTGTGGTAGAATGAGAATAACCAATAGATAGTAGTATGAGATTGACAAAAATGCGCGCCGGCGAGTTGGACGGAAAGAAGCGACCCATTCCGCTTCCTGATTTCCATGGCTCCCATGTGTAACTGTGAAAACCATATTAGGATCCAGGAAGATGACTGAACTAAGCTCACATACCCAAATGGCACCTATTGTGCTCTGCGCCAAAAGCCCCTCACGGTACTAGTACGGGATGTCTTCATTGCCGAAGGCAACGGAAGCCTCGAAACCAGTGCAGTTGGTTCGTCAATTGACATAGGTGACTTCGGTTCCATAGTGGAAGGGCTCGCTTGTGGGAGGTATGATGCCCGAGGAGTCGGCACAATAATTTTTGGCGGTAGAGCTATCTTCGACGGCGGAGGTGGAAGCATGGATATTGGTGGCGGGTTAAAAGATGTCGGATGAGGAAGCCGCGATGAAGACTGCGAAGCGAGTATTGATGCCAATTTTGATGGGGGCGTGAATTTTGTTGGCGGTGGTGGGATCTTCGACGTCGTTGGACTTGCCCCATTGGGGATACTGGAAGAGACAGCTACTGTCCGGGGAAGAGGAAGTTTTGAAGGAGTTGCCACGGCCCGAACCTTGGGTGTTTTTGGTCGCGAAGATAGCTTGAAGATCGACTTGGCCCTACTGGGTGCCGAACTTGGCATGGGATGAATAGAGATGGGCGCGTCCAAGGTGGCAGATGACACAACCGAATTCCTGGAAGATCCAGATGCCAATAGTAGGGACAACCTTGATGTACTATGACTTGTGATGGGCGATGGAAGCAAGGATAGCTGTGATGCCGAAGCCGGAGGGCTATAAGCCTGCAGAGAAACCAGGGACGTACTCCGGAATGACGTAATAGTTGAAGCAGATTGGGGAATAGGCGGCAACGTGTCGTCGAGCGCGGTGGCGCGGGAAGGAATTCTCGATAACGAGATGGTCGGTACCGGTGGTATCGCCTCCCCATTGCTCATCGCACCGTCGGCTGCGAGAGACATACGTGATGCGCCGAATGACGTACGAGTAGGCGACACCGGGAGCGGGGGCACCTCCGCCAAGGAGGACACTGGTGGACGCTGAGATGCAAAAGAGGCACGAGATAAAGAGAATGATGCGCGCAGACTGGCTAGGGATGATTTCTTTCCAATTGTCTTTGCGGGTTTGACGGCTCTCTCATCTGTATCCGACTCATAGTCATAGTCAGTCGAGGCTGTGATATTGCTATCTGAACGGCCTGGGGAGAGTTTCGAGATGAAACTGATAAGACGGGTACGTTTCCGCGGGGTTTTCACCTCTTTGTCCTTCTTGCCCCTCGAGGGAGTTCTGGACCTCAGGAACGTCCCTGAGGGTGTCGGCGTCGGCGTCGGATCGGAAGGTGAAGGAGTTAGTGATGCTGTCGTTGCAACTGACCATCTGCTTTGAAGATCTCCCGAGCTATTAGTGGACGAGCGTAACCGCTGAGATTGAGCGGTACTATCGTTTACGCAATCCTTAGGGTCTAAAGGGGAGGCGGGATACACCGTCAAAGAAGGTGATGTAGAGAACGCAAGTTCAGGCGTAGAAGCGGGAAATATAGTGGTACTGGGTGATACGGGGAATGCAGTTGATGAAGGAGACGGTGAAAACGCAGTTGTCGATGGTGATACGGGAAGTGCCGTGTCGGATGGAGACGTCGGAAATGAACTATCACCGTGATCCTCGGAATGAGGCGCCTCCGGGAAGCGTTCAGCATCAGGGGATGCTGGCAGTGCAATATTTTCCGGTGAGCAAGGAGCGAAGGTCGCACTAGCCGGCGACGCAGGAAAACTGGTGTAGGGACTCGTAAGCGCGGTTTCGCGAGACGGGGTATACGAAAAATTGGAGAGCGTAGGGGACGGGTACCCTGAATCACGATCATCGTGGATCGGTGACAGTAGAGAAAGCTCTTGTTCATCCTGAACCTTCATGTTCAATGATTCCATGCGTCGGAGGAAAATCGGATCGGGACGCTTAAGGTCTGAAATAAGTTCGTGTTGAGTGTCTCCGTGCACAATTACGGAGACAGGCAATGGTGGTGTAAATATATCTTGCGGTTGGCTCTGATCAGATGACAACGTGCTTGTGAAGGAAGGTAACCGCGAAATGCGCATTGATGAAGAACGTGAGCGCATGACACGTGACGAAGTGGACTGTGTTGTGGACGTTGCTGGCGAGGGTGGCGGAGGACACGGTAAAGGCTAAGTAACCGAATTTTAACTCGATAAATAGCGGATCATAAAAGGAAATACCTTGTCCATGTTCTTGTACGGAGTAGTGGGACTGGACTGCATTTTCCAGTGTGACATTTCCTGCACGAGGAAACGAAGTGCGCGCTCCCGTTCGCGCTCTTCCCTCACCTCATCCTCAGCAAAAGTCTGAGAAGGAGAGACAGGGAAAAATAGAGCATCATAAGATGGACAAGACTCTGGTATTGAAGAACATTCTACCGATGACCGCGGTAGGAGCGGAGAGTCGGGTCTGTCAGAACAGAATGTACGGTGTGCTCCCAATGAGGAGGAAGGTGAAGGTGAAGGAGCCCGGGAACAGCCGAGGTCATCTTCGTTGACTCGGGTGTCTGACTCTGAGAGAGCGAAATCATATTGGTGCTCTATCCAAGAGTGCACACGAGCGTTGCGTGTGGTTGAGTTGTCAGATAGTAGCTGGCGGAGGAGGGCAGTGTAAGCAATATCATCTTCAGACATGCTGGCAGCCATCATGACTGGGGACGAAAATGAAAAAAGGAGAACCAGGTCGGTCCATTTTATTACAAGTGCGGCAACTTGCAGGGCAAACTTTTCGTTAGGAAAATCACATAAAAGTTTCGTTCCAAAAAAACGCGAGTTAGCTAAGATCGGCCTTCCGATCTTTTCAGATCTGTAACGGTGCCCAATATTAATATTATTTTGGCTTCTAGACTTTCCATTTTCGGATTCCCACCTTCCGACTGGTCTTCGTTACCGTTCGTGGGTTCCGTCGCTAACATAAGCGGAACCCCAAATCTATTCAATTTCTCTCTCTGGCCGGGCGCAGTGGGATCATCCATAGCGCCCCTGCACCAGCCCTGGAAGAGAAGGTCCCTAGCCCATACGACGCAAGGCAACGTGTCGCATTCCTCTGACCTTCTTTCCTCGTCGAGGGCATGTCAGTCACAGTCGACAGAACCTGCCATGAAAAACAAGCTAAGGCCGAATTTCGTTTACCGAGGACATCACTATACCAGATTCAATATCATAGCAGGTCGCGGAGCTCTAACAAGCGCCTGTCAAGCGCTGTCGGGTGCGATAAGCAACAATTTTAATTGATGCAGACAACGCCAAATGGCAACAGTCTACACCACAATTTATTCAACGTCACACGGCTTTATGCGGCTCGCCAACATCAGAGTGGCTCAACGCAGTTTTCAGGTCGTCGTGTGCCTTTTTCAAGTCTGTTTCTTTGGTCCTCGACCTTCTTAGCCTTCTAATAGACACGCGGTGCAAAATGCTGCACTGGGCAAATCAACACCCGCCCTGACTAGCTATAGTTTCGGCCTCACAAACAGCGGTGACTTCTGTGTTACGGCCCGTCTCCATCATAACTTATTTGCACCTCGAAAGTTTTTAAGCTCACGGCTCCTCAAGTTGCATTGTAATCTGTCCCCACAGCGATTGTGGGGTCCTACACCTATAAGACTTGATGTAACGTCGCCTCCACCAATGACAGCTTCAAGCCTTCAGGAATAAATTCACGTAAAGCAGTCGCTTCCACTGTTAGATGCCGTTCGGTCGGGTCCGCGCGAGCGTGTGCCCATTTAAGCGGAAAACATACGTTAACATTGATGGTCCACAATCATATATCTGCCTAGTCCCCCGGTTCGCCTACTACCAGTGAAATGTATCTCGTGATCGCCGTTTCGTGCTTCAAGTTGAATGGGTTTTGGAATGATGCGTTCGTTACAGTCCGTTGAACTTTGTCTCACCTCTCCTTGGTGGTCGGGTGTTCATTATATATGGCAGCCACTTAGTGCGTTTCATAGGCAGTTATTATGAACAAGAGGTTGTTGCATTTTGATCTAGAAATTCAGAATACAGCAACTTTTAGTTAGGCAGCAGAACAAAGTTGGGCGACCTTCTACAAGCGAGGCTCCGCCCATTCCAGATCCCAAAGTGACATTTTTGAGGCGTCGGTTGGAACTCATAAAAGGTCCGCTCAAGTTGACATGTAAGTTATGCCGTCAGGCTATCACCATAAATCTCAACCGTAACTTGTTGCTGATCAGTTCGTCATTCTCCATTCTCGCCTGCCACGAACGGCCAAAGTAAGGATATCCACAATGCAATCAACTAACCTGACAAGTGTTTTATTATCAGGACCATGTGATGCTCTACGGTGCTTTTAACAACGCTTGGCCAGGACATGAAGTATCATTATGCAAAGAGCACAGCTATTGCGACTAAGCATGCTCCGCAACTCGGTAGGGGTGCGATTTTTTTTTTCAAGTCCAGTAAAATTGCAACTTGGGCATGAATTCGGCGAAGATACGCAGTTCTTCACAATAATGGCTGGTACTATGTTTGGTATCAAAGCCGTCACACTGTGGTCGTCCAACCATTCTTCCTGGGCTAGTGCAGAATTAGGTATGACTACATGTTGCTCGACGTTACTCGAGTTTCATTTCGGCCCCAGAATCGGGGTGATTGACATTTCAAGGTCTTCTGCTCTGCTCTTTCACTATCTGTATCTTGACTGGATGGATAGCACATTAGCACTACGTGATTACAATGTATCGATTCAGTCTTTCCCCATCGTACATGATCAGCATCATGACAAGCTCCGACACGCTAAATGCGGCTGCGATGCACGTTGTGTCTGCCGGAACATTATGACGTGGTCGGCGATCTGCTAGAACCCTTTGAGACTAGTATTCGGGTATGCTAGAGACATGGTAGAGCAGCGGCACTCTTCGATTTCGGGCGGTGTCACCCCCCGCCCGGGATTAATCGCGTGGACCATGAAACGTCCGAACATACCGCGGACCTAATGTTCGTGGTAACATGTAAGCCGTTTATCCAGGAAATTAACAAGGCCTGGCCGCCAGTGCGCTCGCCACGCTAGAGCTCTCGCTTATTGGCATTGCGATAGTCGCGGGTGAAGTGCAAGTGCTGTAATCACGAATATTACCCACGGCAACTAAGCGTGAAATGTTCTACCAATGCAGATTCAGAGCTCCCTCTAACATACACTATTTTGGATTCAGGAGTAGGATGTGATCCGCTGCAGGACTACTAGATGTAAGTACTAATCACATCATAAACACAGAAAATTAGCTGAGGCACCGATACCAGGTATTACCAGCCGTAGTATACCTTGTTGATTACTCTGCTCGGGGATAAGGACACCGAAGTAACGCAGTCCTTGACGGAATTTTCTTTTTGTGTGGCTTCTACCCGAGAAGCAAACAGATTGCTGAAATCCGCTCGAGATTTAAGAAAGAGTTGGGACTGATGGGCCTGGTTGCAGATGGGGCAGAACCTAGATTGCCAAACAGTGCCTCGCGGAGAACTCGAATTTTACGCTACAACTGAGGGTTCCGACGTTGCGACAGCCACCATCTCTGACGAGTCCATTACACTTCCCTCGGAGTCGGCCTCCACATGAAGTATCAGTCCGAAAGTAGTGATCTGCAGGCCACATAGAGAAGGAGCGCATCGAAGCCAACGCCGACCTTGCCGCGAATTGGATAGTGCCTCGGTACGTCATCATACGAGGTTCTCACTCAAGCTAAATCAGATGATGAGACCAGTAACTCGAAGGAGCGCTGAGCAAAATTTTCTGAAAGATGCTAGATTTGCACTTCCAACCCCATTTCTGTCCATCAGGGCTTCGCGACGGGCAGAATTCGCTATCTCATCAGTTTGTCCATCGGGGCTTCGCGACGGGCACAGTTCACTATCTCATCAGGGAAATGTACAGTATGCTCACAAACCTTGAATGTCTCGGAGGGAACCTAGTCTCCTAGCTAGGTTGTCCACACGAAGAAGACTGACGTTCCTTCTTTATTACCTATCCACAGTTTCTCCTGATTCTCGCCTTAGTTCCACTCAACCAAAACCAATTTGACAGTACGGTTGACATCAAATGACAAGGTTCAAGAAGTCACTGCTTGATCTGTGTGCACATGGCGTGAACCCCGACGCGTGAATTCATCTATCATCGCACTCCTCCGGACTGATACACTGGATCTTCAATGAAAATGAAATCACGAACATTGCCAATAGTTAGGACTTATCTGATGCGGCGCTCCGAAGTGGAATTGTATACATAGCACAACTATTGTGTCCTGATTCAGATTCGGAATATGGCCTGTTTGGCGCTGTCAAATTAGATGTTGGTCATGGCGGTGTTTTGTTCGTGTGGCATCGTATTGGTTCTGTGAGCTGATACGGACAGGCTAGAAGGTCTACATATCAAGAGCTTTATCGTGCTTGGGCACAACGTTGCGGTCATGGCGGGGACCGCGGGATGAGTTCATACTGATGGATGTCATGTATTTGGCCATCTGTAATAGTATCAATACTACGTAATAAATAGATCAGCTTATCAGGCGCGGGTTGATTACTAATAGCAGTAGTCTTCCGCCATCGACTCGGTATGTCAGACACTGCTATGCAGTCACAATTAACATAAAATCAAGCTTGGGCAGGCATGTGGTTTAGGACTAGGTGCGCTATTAACGTGAGTTTATTTTTCTAGCGCTCTCTAGAGTTCTAAAGTCAATGATATTTGCAGCTTCGCAGGTTATCATGATCTTAGTCGGGACGGCGTTTGCCATCACACGATCTTTTGTCCCTTGAGAGGCCCAGCTGCGGAATGAAAATGCGTGTTCGATCAATGCTAGATTGAACTTTCACTGACGGCGCTCGCAACACTCGAACGTGTTTTGCAGGCTCCAGCGCTGTCGACATAGCAGTGCCTACTCTATCGACTCCGTCATGGTCACACGACTCAGGAACTGGCTACTCGAACAACACATCTGGCTGCGCCTCATTCTTCCAACCCCATAGAAAGATAACGCTCCAGGGCCTAAACCTTTGCTGATCAAAGTGAGCTTACCCCTTGAAGGCTTTCATCTCCACATCGTCTCACTGTGTGTCGTTATTAATTGCAGTATGTAAACGTTTCGGTTCTTCCCAGTATCGCGATGCCACGAGAGGTCATCCCTTTACATAGTGTCGAAGCGAACCTTGCACGTACTGAAAGCTAATCCGATGGCAATTCCTCGTAACGTGTAAATGAACGGCGATGTCCATGATTGCTTCTCAACTTCATAATCCGCAATTCCTTGTAACGTGTAATGCGAACGGTGACGTCCATGATTGCTTCGTAACTTCAGCTCTGTCGACTAATTGGAGTGACGTCTAGAGCGAGGAAACGCACCTTTCCTCATAAGCAACTGCCAAACTATAATTTGCTCCTCGGTGGTGTACCTTGAACCGAGGAATGCATCATGGAATGCTAGTCCCCCACTCAGTATATCGACAACCGGCAAGGCTTATTGAACTCCCAATTCCTGGAGTGTCAGCATGCTACCCCCACCGAATCGGTACAACATGCAAGATCCGTCAACACTCACACATCACCATTTCGTGACAATGTTCAGCGTAGACATTTAGTGACATAATCCATGATCTCACTTGTTTAGTGACGACACTTCCCCACGAAGGATCTACTTCGTGTGATTCAGCGAATGATTGAACGTTCAACTGTTACTGATACAACTTCCTTGCGCTTGCTCGCGTAATGATTTTGCATGATCCAACGAGCTCTGTTACTTCACTACATCGGGCGGGCCGCCGCGTTTGCAGGGACAAACAGACGAGACGGGGTATTTTTTCCCTCCCGCTCCACAGGTCGGCCGTCACCCTCACGTATCCTTCAGCTTCTTCAGATCTGGGACGCCGACAAGGTCACAATTAATTATGTTCGGCACGGATGCACTCGCACAACTAATTGTGATTGATAGGGAATCTTATTGCTCTTCGCTTCCCTGCGACTTTGCGATACTTTCTCAGATGCCTTACGATTATGCGTTCAGCATTGCCGGCACCGATCTTTGACATGGCTTCACGCCACGAAAGCTTTTCGTGACACTTATCTCACTGCAAGGGGCAGCCCTACGTATATCGAACCTAAGAATCAAAACCTTGATCTTGCCATCGTCAGATAATATTGCCAGATCGAGTTCTACAACGGTATTCAGCTCAACTGGTGTAGTGACCTTATCATGATTGGTAGTAAGGTCGGCAGTACCTCTAGGGGTCCTTGTTCTCTTATCCTGCAGTTGTTAGGGAAAAGCTACCAACTCACCGTTGTCGTGATTCATCCATCTATAGCGTCCGGGCTGAAGATGCCATTGTTAACCAACCTGGCCTGCTCTGCATGATAAGCGCACCGTGAAGGCGGCATTCCTCGAATGATACCCTCTCTAAAAAAGAATTAGACCTATCATTCTTTTGATCAGTGACATAGGCAGTATTTGCGAAGCAAGTTCTTCTGCAGCCCCCGGGCTCCCATAGGTCCATCATTCGCATAGCCTCGATATCAATCAATAATCTTGACAGGATATTAATTGGGACTGGACAAGGGCCCGACCAAGAAGCGGCGTTGCGAGCAGAATACCGACGAGTCTGGGTTCGATTGAAAATCAGCATACGATAGCCGCGCCTAGGGAGGCCGAGTAAACAAAAAAAAACAAGATTTCAAATCATATACCCGGGAGAACGGTCACATACCCAGTTGCTGCAATCTCCTCAAGGATCTTTTCATCATCAGGAAGGTTCAAGACAAAACCAATCCATAAGTTTGAATATAAGACCCTTCATATCTCAGAGCGTCTGCATGTGAACCGAAGCTCTCCGGGAGTGTGGACCGGGTCCCTTCTCTCAAGATGTCGAAATGGAGGAAGTTCGGGAAATATATGAGGCGCATGGACTCCTGTGGGCTCTGTGGACTCTGGCGCTTCGAAGCCACCGTGGCGGCTCGTGGCAGCAATGCAAATCGAGATGCGATATGCAGGAATCAGAGGAATCGGATGTGATCCCAGCAAGTGAGCTGCCACGTTGCAATCGTGGGTTCCCCACGGGGCACGCGGGACGACAACCTATTCATGTCACAAACATATTGTCTCGGATCTATGTGATAACTGAGATAGTCGGAATATCGGATTCCATTCGAGATACCAGGACTTACCATAGTCAACTCTAGACTCGGTGCGATACACCACTGCAGTGAAAGGTGAGTCCAGGACTGACCTGGACCAGCAATTGTTAGAAACTCCCGCCAGCCAGCGCTCACCTAGTAATGCTTCCGCTACGCAGCGATTGGTCACCGGCGTTGCACCGGCGTACAATTTTTCATCTTGACCAATGACATCCTCGGAATTTTGACTTGAGTTGAAAAATATGGGCATAGGTCAACCGTATAGGTTTACAGAAACACTCATGATCGCTCGCGATCGCATCATATGACCCTTATCTCTTTTGAAATAATCTGAACACGCCAAGTGGCGCCGTGTGGCGCCTCTGCGATTGAGTCACTAGTTTTGCAATCGCGACTCGATATTGATACACTTGCTTGTCATGACTTGACGATCTCCATCCACCAGCTCATGCATGCGCCATGATCAAGATGCGAGTGCAAGTTCCCGATTTTTGCGCATTTTCAACAACATATCATGCATCGTGCACCCAAAGATCGACACCAACAAAACCCATCGATAAAAAAACAACATGAATATTCAAATTCTCATACACAATGTCATAAACCATGTAAATCCGTGTGCAGCATACAAATGATTGAGCGGGTATCATACACGTGAAAGAGCTGATCGAAACATCAAATCAGCACTCCTGCAAGTCATGCAAACATAAAGGTGCGTGCTTACTCCGTCTGTATCAAGAAAGTTCTTGCGTGCTGGAACGCAAAAGATCGTTGAGCACCCTGACTACTGTACCGGCAGCTTCTCGCACAATGTCTCTATCGCTCTCCTTGACTTTCGGCAATAGCTGCGTCTCGAACCGATCAGGATGCCATCGTCTGATGTTCTCCTTGATACGGTCCTTCGGAGACTTGTCGGTAGGATGCAGAGACGATAACATGTAGGCCGTGATGCAAGGTGCCGTCACGTCATCGGGGCCGCTTAGCCGTTTGAACACAGGCCACGGGAAATCGTCCCATATCAAAACGCCCAATACACCACCAGATATCTGCAATTTATCCCATTGACCACGATGGTATTCGAAGAGCTTGATGGTATCCTGCTTTCCCAAGGCCTTTCCAGCCTTCAAGAGTCTTTCCTGCTCTAATTTGGCTTGCTCACGACGGAATTGTTCCTCGCGCTGCTGAGCTTGTTCAGCCTGACGACGGTGGAACTCTGCTTCTGAAAGGGGGGTAGGTGGGGGACCGGGTGCTGCTTTGGCGTTCTGCTGAGCTGATGGCGTTGGTGGCTTAGGTGTGCTCGGTGGGTGCGAACTAGCTGTCGAGCTCGGCCGAGTCGAGGAAGTCCAGCCAGCACTGCTACGACTAGTGCTAGTCGATCCGAAGCTGCTCCTATCTGTGGGGGGACTTGGTCCAGGCATGCTACGGTCGCTACGATTAGGGATTGGCCAAGGTCCTGTAGAAGACGAAGAAGATTGAGATTGAGAAGTAGCCATCTGGGGAGGTGGCGTGGGTCGACCAGTCTCCGGTGCATAATAACCCCAGGACTCCCAATCGAACTTTTCTTGTTTCTTCTTTTCTTCTGCGCGCTGGCGGCGTATCTCTTCTTCGCGCTTCCGAAATTCATCCTGCTGTACCTTCTGCTTGTCGTCTGATCTGCGAATCGCCTCTGCCTCCCGGCGAAGCAACTCTTCCTCCCGCCGCAAGAGTTCTTCTTCTTTCCTCTGGATCTCTTCCTCTTTGGCGCGTGCTGCCTCTTCTTTGAGCCTAGCATCCTCCTCCTTGCGTTTAACTTCATCTTCCTTGCGTTTCGCCTCCATAGACTTGCGCGAAATTTCTAGAGCGACACGTTTCTCTTCTTCTTCTAACCGCCTAGCCACTTCCTCTTCCTGTCTTCGGAGGTCTTCCGCCCGTTTCCTGGCCTGGGCTTCCTGTCTCCTGACTTCCTCCTCTTTCTTCCTCGCAAGCATCTCCTTCCGCTGGATTTCGTCTTCCTTTCGTTTGGTTTCCTCTTCCTTCTTCTTCGCCTCCTCCTCCATTCTCAGGATCTCGAGCTCTTTGCGATCGGCCTCTTCCTGTCTCCGCCTAGCTTCCACCTCTTTGCGTCTGATTTCATTCTCCTTCCGCCTAGTTTCCTCTTCCTTGCGTTTAGTTTCCTCTTCCTTGCGCTTAAGTTCCTCCTCCTTCAGCTTAGCCTCCTCCTCCCGTCTCGCATCCTCCTCCCTCCTCCTCAACTCCTGCTCACGCCGAGCAACCTCTTCCTCCCTCCTCCTCAAACTCATACTATCCTCTCTCTGACGGATCTGGCGCTCATCATACTCCCGCCAATCAACACCATCCAGATCCACATCTTGCTCATACTCCACCTCACGATGCGTATGAACAGGTCTCGCAGGGATAATACCCACTCTCGCCCGCATTATACCCATAGCGCATATCCTGCGACGACACCCTCGCGCGCAAGGCCAAGTTGGAAGATTGCCAACTCCGTGGGATTTCTTCTGGGGTTTGTGGGGAGCGCGAGGTTTCGTAGCGGGTGTCGTAGGGCGAGCGGGAGGGGCCGTTCCAGCCTTTGGGACTTGGGCTGGACTGGAATCCGCCGTCATCGAACGTGAAGGATTTCTTTGTTGCGATGGGTCTGCTGGCTGAGGGTGGGGGGCGGGAATTGTCTGAGCGGGTGTACACGGTGGAACTTGGGCTCTCTGCAGGGCGAGTGTATGCGATGGGGATTGTGGAGCTTGGGCTCTCTACGGGACGAGTGTAAGGGATTGCGGAGCTTATGATGGGTGCGACTGAGGATAAGGGCGGTGGATAACGGTCATCCAGCCGCTGAGGGGTAGTTGCGATGGTAGCTCGAGCTTCAGCAAAAGTGTACGACGTCGTTCTCTCTCTATCTCTCGCTCTATCCATAGGGCTCCATTCCTGATCTATGGCCGATATACGTTCTCTCTCTCTTTCCATCATACGCTCTCTTTCTTTCTCAATCGCGCTGGGCATCATATCGTACGGTTCGGAAGAAAACGGGATGTTGAGCACGGATGGTGCCCGATAGGAAGAGTTGTTGCTCGCCGTGCTCCCACGACGCGCGAGACTGAACGTACGAGACATCTGAGCATCCTGTTCAGGCGTGATAGAAGGATGCCAGAATTCTGGGAGTTGCCTAGTAGAAATGCTAGCTTTACGATGAAGGCTTCCGCGTCTGATATCCTGAGCATCGGTAGGTGAACGAGCAGATCTAGGCATGTCGTCTATTTCGTCGATGGTAGGAGAAGGCTTTGGGCGCTCAAAACCTCTGTCTGTTGTATCCAACGTGGAGGGGGGCTTGTATGATCCGACAACGCTACTAACAGACCCGGCACGAGCCTTGCCGGTATCGCGAGGTGGTGGTACGTGGTCTTCCTCAAACTCCCGACTGTGGAAGTAATCTGCCTCGTGCTCGGTTCCGCGTGCTCGTGCGGGGTCCAAACACGTTCTGGAGAATGACTACGGCTAGAACGGGATATTGAAGGATCTGCGATAGGCTGAGAAGAGGAAGAAGAATGAGCAGCTGCTTTATCTTTGCGTTCTCTTTCAATCTTGTCCAAGATAGCTTGTTGTTCCTTTGCCATTGTGTCTGACCATCCTTGATCTAAGACTTGACCAGCGGCCCAACGGCGTTCTTGGCGTTCACGTTCGAGGGCGATACGAAATTGTTCCTCGGCAAGATTACGGATGTTCTTCATGGTAGCGAGGTGTTCGTCGGTCAAGCGTTCGCGTTCGAGAGCGCTGACTGGGGCTCTCTTTAGAGTGTCGTGTAGACTCTGTTTAGCTTCGTCGACCATGGAACGTAAGTTGTTCTCGATATCGACTTTGAGGCGACTCTTCCATTGTTCGTCAGGCTCGAAATCGGCGGCTGATGGATTAGTAGAGGATTCAGTTGTAGATTGAAACAAGGTCGTCATGACAGAGCTATAAAGAGAGAGAGAGATCAGCAAAGTATGATAGGGATAGTTTTAGCTACGCACTCAAGGAAAGTGAACTTTGACCGTTTGGGGAGAATAGTGAAATGGACTTGGAAATGAGGTGGGGTAGGGATGACCTCGAACACTCTGTTAGAAGACGGCTAAGTCTGATTGCGACGAGCCTGTGATGTGATTTATGCCTCGTGTTAGGACACGCGTTGGGGAAGTCTGAATATAATATAGGCGGACGGACTTACGCAGCCGGTAGAGGACCAGGAGCATTCACGATGAAGGTGGTAGATAGAAAAGAAGGGTAGTACAGTGTTGAGATGTACTTTGAGAGTGGAGATGATGATCAGTGATTACCAGACATGAAGGTTGAACTGATTGCGATTATAAGAGTATGTAGGTTTAGATCAATTGATCTGATTGCTTACCCCGTGAGTATGTAGAACGTAGAAACTGGCGTTAGGAAGGGTTAAGCCGATGATGTCGAAAGTGCAGAGTGTAGGACTGCTAGCAGTAGAAGGCCGACTTGAGCTCGATGAAGTGACCACAATTAGTATTAGTAGCAGTATCCAAGGCACCCCACACGCTTATTATCATTGCATCTTTTTTTTTCTCTCGGCACTTCTTACTTCGAAGTCTAATAAAGTCCCGCGAAGCTTAGACTCACGAAAGCGAACATTGTGTTGTTGATAGCGCACAGTTGACAATAATTTTGAGATGGCTTGAAGGTTGAACGAGATGATGATGTAAAGGTGGTGTTCTTGCGTGAAACGAGGCTCACGGGAAGGGCAGGGAAGGTCGACTAAGCCGAAACTCTCACCGAAGTGAGTTGAGTGGATAGCGGGAATACGTTGCAAAAGTGAATAACAAGCAAAGGATATAGTCTCCTATTCACTTGTACAATGTATGCCCAGGTGCGAGTGATGGTTGAAGTAGGATGTAAAAAAAGATGAGTTTACCTGTGACTTGTAAGGTTGCTCCGAGGACGAGCTTTAAGATTTTTGGTGCCAACGAGTCAACGAGTCACTGAGTGATTGACGCTCGTAAGGGCAAGCGAATTACTAAATATCCCCGTGACAGCGGATTGCAAGCTAACACGAGACGCGGTTAGTAACTAAATTCCGAAATGGTGGGATTGGTCTCAATGATGGGAGAGTTTCCTCCTTTGAATAGCTTCCTGCGTGAAGCCCATAAGGAATGAAATGAAAATGGATACCTTGAGATATCGGAGGCCGATATGTGATCAGACTAGATAGCAGTACTGTGTTTCAAACTAGTAGGGTGACTAGCTTCGTAGTGCTCGGTGTTAGAGGTTACTTGATTACGAGATAGTTGATCTCGCCTCGAGGTAAACACGAGGCAGATGTTCAGATCGACCCTTCTTCACTCTCCTTTGTCTTCTCAAAAATTATATACCAAGCACCGCCAATCGTAAGTCGATCAACAATCCAGTGAATTACAGAAACTAACAGTCCTAGACACCACATGCATATCTACCGCAACTAATCTTACTCAATCCCATAAATTTCCGAACAGCCGTATCTTCCCTGATCTTCTGCTTTCTACATTCCTATCATGGACCAATCCTAAACGCGATATCGTCTTTTTCAGGAAATTTGGGAATTGCCATCCCTCAGCGCTCCATGCCGCACGAGTCACTAATCGAATCATATACTTCCCCTACAAAAATTCAGCAATCATCTCTCATCTACTCAATCAATGCCTCCAAAACGACGAACAGCAGCAAAGAGCGCTCCGGCGCCTGCAAAGCCAGCAGCCCCCCAACCTAAACCAACAGCGACTCCAGCTGTCAAACAAGCTGTGCCCCCTCCCCCACCCCCTCCGCCGCCTCCACCAGTCGAAACCCCTTCAGCCAAAGTCCGCAAGGAATGGCAAAATTTTATCTCAACGTGGTACGAACCAGAGAAGAAAAAACTCTCAGACCAACTCACCAAAGAGCTCGACGCGAAATACAAGAAAAAAATTCAACAAAACACTCGTCACGCAGAGATGGAGAAAAGACTCTCCGAGATCACAACTCAACTTGCTGAACCCGCTCATGATGAGTGGAACAGTCGTCTCGCTGCTGTGCAGCTCCGCGTAGACGATTGGACAGATATCACACAAGAGGAACAACAGTCTGTCATCAACGTCTTCAACGCTTTTTATGAAGACAATGAAGAAGAGGATTCCACTCCCTTCGACTCCAATGAATTAGACGAGTTAGTGGCGTCGGCGGTTGAAGAACCTCAACTCGGGGATTCTTCTCCTTTCTTCACATCCCGTCAATCGCCACCAACACCCATTACAGCCAATTTCCAGCTCGTAAATCCCTCTTCCTTCTTCACAGACACAATCTCCCCCGCGAAGCAAGCCAGAAAATTGCCGGAGCTTGCCATGGTACGTCTTGCATTTGTTATCATGACGTGTCACCCTGACATGGTCCTGCCCAGGACAACTTGGCAACGCTTAACAACCTAAACACAGGTCGCACACCGGCTGACCACGGCCAAAGCAGCGCAGTATTCGGCTTCCAAGGCTGGGCCTCCGAAGCTGGCTTAGCAATCCCCCAAAGCACCTCCCAATCCCAGTCCACCAACAGAAATCGCGCAACAGATAACATCTCCCGGCAAACATCCGCGTCCGCAGCTTCATCCGCATCTCCTCCCCTCTTCTCATCTCACTCCCCCCCTCAACCCACAACTAAAATATCCCCCCTATCTGCCACACACACACTTCTCCCAGGCAAACGCTACATCGGGCCTGTTATCGCCGAAGAGGAAGCCGAGCCGATCGATGAAGAACTTCTCAAAGCGAAAATGGCCGCCGATTTCCTCGAGTTCAAGATGGAAGTGCGGATTCAGATGATCCAGCAATTCCACGCAAAGGCATCTGCTATCGAGATCGAACTCGCGAGGCAGCTCGAGAGCAACAATAGCACTTGCTCTAGAGAGAGCAGACTCCTCACATTGCATGAACATGAGGAGAACATGCTGTCGCTTCGCGAGTCCAAGGAGCTCGAGAGGAAGAAGTTGTGTGATAAGGAACGCGATCGGAGGTTGCAGGAACATAGGTTTTTGCAGCAAGTTGCTGCTCAGAAGGCGATTAATCAGACCCGCTCAAACGCGAGCGCTTCGTCTTCGAAAATTCCTCCCGCCTCGCAGGCAGGGTGGACGTCTCACCCCGCTCCTAAACTCGCTAGTCAGAAAGAGAACCTCTCTACAGGCAGCTTGCCTACAAAGCCTGATCCCCCCAGTATACTCAAGAAGTCTGCCAGCGCACGCTCTCACGATATCATCCCCGGCTTTGACGAAGCTGCATTCTTGAAGGATCAAGCTGAAGCTGCGAGCTTCGCGAAAGGCAAACAGCCTGCTTCTACCACCCCGTCAAGTCGACCTAGCGCGCTCAAAAAGACAGAAAGCACAAGCTCGCAGGACGAGCCTGTTGAACTACCCGCACCTCCCACCGCAAAGGGCAAAAAGGGCAAGAAGACGCCGGGCGTCACTCAACAGCCCAAAACAGTCACTTTCACCCAAGAGCTCGATGCCGACGCGGAGCCTCCTCCAGTTTGGGGTGCGAAGAGTGCAAAGGCTTCGGTGTCTTCCAAGTCTGTCATGATCGAGGAGGAGCCGGATGAAGATGCTGATCCCTTGTTTTCTGCGTGGAACACCAAGACTGCACGTGCTACTACGCCTGCGCCGGCTGCTAAAAAGGGCAAGGCTGCGGTCGTCGAAGAGGTGGTTGTCGAGCCTGCTCCTCCTGTGATCTCTACTCCTAGTTGGGGTTCCGCTAGCGGTTGGGGTTCGGTAGCAGCGGGGAAGAAAGGCAAGGGCCCGATTGTATCCACAGAACCTACGGAAGATCCTTTCCAAACGAGGACCGCGTCGGGGAAGAAGGGCAAAGCCCAAGCCCCGATTATATCAGCAGAGCCCATGGAAGATCCCTACCAGACGTGGACCGCGCCGAGTGGTGCATGGGCGACCAAGAAAACAAAGGTCACCGTTACTGAAGAGCTTGATGAAGAAGAGATGGCTTGGGGTGTTGGGCTCAAGGGTGCGTTGTCGTCGAGCAAGCAGGCGAAGAAGGTGGTGTCGCAGCTGGAGACGCAGCCAGAGACTCGTCGCGGTGTCCAATCCTCTTCGAAATCTGCGATGGTCCAAGATGTCGGCGAGGAAGAGGAGGAGGAGGAAGAAGAAGAGGAAGAAGAGGGGGAGGAGGAATGGGACCAGATCCAACCCGCGTCTGCCATACCAGATACCACCGGTGAAGCAGAAAGCGATGGGTGGGGATCTTCCTACTGGAGCAACCTCGCCAAGGGTCAGCCCATCGCACAAGCCACAGACGAATCCTCCCCACATATGCTATGGACGCCATCGATGGAAGCCGAAGAGAGCGGCGACGAAGATTTAGGCGAAAGCATAGAGAGCGCTCTCTGGATGCAATACGCCATCAGTGGAGGCGAGATCGCTGGCTTCGAGGCTCCTGACCCGCAAGAGAACGTCCATGCCCATGCACACGCTCATGTTCCTGTGAAAAGCACCCCCGCCGCTTCTCACAAAAAGACCACCAACGACCCAACCACGAGCATCTGGGAGCAAGGGAAAGGAAAGAAAAAATCAACGCCCGCGATCGAGACCAAGATAGAAACGACCCGTGCGTCCAACGCTCGAACGGCCCAATGGCCAAAGGCCAAGATGGAAATGGAGAATTGGGCTTCGCGCCTAGGCCAAAGCTCAGGTTCAGCTAGACATTTGTAATTTCATCATCAGGAAGAAGGCGAAGACGGACTTATTTTACCCTAATGCTGTGGTCACTTGTTTGATAGTTTTTTTTTTTGCTATATTGTTTTTTTTGTTTTGTTTTCGCGGCTTACTGGTTAAGCCTTGCTTTTTATCGTAGTAGTTTGTTCTGTTTGAATAATGGTCGTCAAGTTTTATGTTGTATATGTCGTCTATCACTTTGCATCGTCGTTTGGTCCTGTGAGCGAGTCGAGGGGGGAGGGAAACGAGCGGACGCGGGGTTTAGTAACAGACATGCATGCATTACATAGCTATGGAGCTACACTAGTACGTTAACAATGTGTTCTAACACACGTTGAGGGCATACGTGAAAGGGCCTCGTGCTATGATGCGTTTCAATCGCGGTATGGAAGTACTACAGTGGTGATCCTATCTCGGATGGAAGTCTGGTTATCAAAGTTGAATTTGAAGCACGTGTAACATCAGCCACTTTGCGTGACCCAACATTTTTCACTTATCGTAGCACCGAGCGATCCCCGGTCCCGAGCTAGCTAGTATGGCGCTGGGTGTGGCTCGGCCTATGGGGCAATCTCTAGAACACCAAAAAATGAGCTCAGTAGGCTGTCGTCCGTCCTTGAAGTCAGATACGCGACTTACCCCGCATTGTCGACGCATGTGAACCTCGTGGCAAGCGGGGCTCCGTTACAATGTTGCGCCTGATCGGGTTATTCCTCCCTATTCACATTGTCCTCCTTCGAAGAGCTGGTCCCAATGATACCTGACACGTCTGTACGGTCACTCGGAAGCTGGGACGACGATAATCAATTTCTACGGGTAACACCGCGGTTCTTGATGCTGACGGGTTTGGAGGGTACGGGTCCAAGGGTTCGCTGGTCCCCTTAGGGTTTCACTGGCTGCCCCATATATTTCATGATGCACCAGTACCGAGCATGCATACCATCCCCCACCTGCTTCATCTCTGTCGTCCATGTCTATACCTCCTCCCAGGAATGAAATTGCAGCGCAAGCTTCCAAAAGCACTTTGCAACGCGTCAAAAGCACTGGTGATTCCAGTCATGCCGACCACTTGGACTCGTCAGATTTTCCCGAGGGTGGCGTAACAGCTTGGAGCACAGCGATAGGAGCGTAAGTGTTTTTGAATGCCTGTATCGCTGCATACTCATCATGAAATATCGTCAAGTTTTTTGATACAATTCTGTGGTGCTGGGTAAATTGATTCAGCATTTATGGTCCATTTTCACTCATCATGTTCCAGATATACCTGCTCATACGGCGTCTTCCAGGGTAGGGACCGGTAGATTATTTTACAGAACGAGCTGATCATCATGATACGCAGACTTTTATACTCGAACTTATCTGAGAATTCTACACCATCTGCGATTGCGTCAGTGAGCTTTAGACTTGGCCCGTTTCTTCACTGCCAGTGTTTCTGACTTGCAATGCTATAGCTGGATAGGAGGTATTAATGTATTGTTGACATTCTCAGTTGGCCTCGTGTCAGGAAGGTTGCTTGACCGGGGCGTATTGTATGTAGTCAGGCAGTTCACATAAAAGTGTCCCTCATCATGCATCCAGCTATCATGTGATGAAAATCGGTTGTCTCCTCCAGTGTCTCTGCCTCTTTATGCTGTCACTAGCGAAACCGAATGCGTATTATCAAGCAAGTCTGGTTTCTGTCACTGCATCACTCAATTGACAATAATGTTAGATCTTCCTTTCCCAAGGTATCGGTTCTGGGGTTGGAATAGGCCTTACGAATGTTCCCTCAATCACCGTGGTATCTCATCACTTCCAGCGACGCAGAGCTCTCGTGATGGCACTCGTCATGACAGGGCTGTCGACGGGTGCAATATTGCAACCAATTATACTCAACAACCTTATCAATGGAAGACTTGGCTTTGCAAATGGTGTCCGTGTTAGCGCGGGCATGATTAGCGGTCTGCTTCTCATAGCATATCTTCTGATGCACACAAGACTCCCGCCGCAACCCCAGGCCATTAGCTACACTCGTGTTTTACGAAACTCGTGGAGAGATCGTCCTTATTCTTGTGCGTGTTTAGGGTGAGTGGGTCAACACTTGATGGCATGGACCTTCAGACAGTTTTCACTCCCTAGGATGGCTGCTTTCGAAGTCGGGCTATTTTTCGTGTTATTTTATCTCCAATTAGACTCCCGTCTGCACGGTCTAAGCAAAGGATTTTCGTTCTATTCGGTGCGTGTCCCCGAGGCCAGTTAACAAGGAATTACTCAGTACTAGCTTGACAGCTTACAATCTTTAATACTGGTTCTTTGTCCGGAAGACTTACCGCTGGTGTTGTCTCCGCCTACATGGGCATCCCGAATACGGTCATCGGCTGCTCATTCATATCATCCGCTGTAATATTTTCAATGATTGGCTTGCGCTCGGAGGCCAGCGCGGCGCTGATAGGTGTTAGCTATGGTTATTTTTCTGGAGGTTGTGCGTGGGTTCTTGATACACCTCCAACACTCACTGAGTGTCGACTCAGTCATAGCATTAATTTCCCCGTTGATATCATATCTGACTCCCGAAGACTCAGATATTGGGTAATTACTTGACGCATGGCTTTGGTTCACGCTGACAAGTCGTTCAAGTGCTCGAATTGGAATATCGTTCGCGATGTCTGGTAAGTCCGTAGATTTAAATCTGATGAGTCACGTCCTGACCTGCGTCCGCAGGTATTGGATCACTCATTGGCATGTGTGCCGCTGGCTTTCTCGACCAGCACTTACCTTCTGCTTAGGTGCTCCGATCTGCAGAGCTGTCCTGACCTCGCATTACATCTGGTGGAGGCCTGCTGTCTTAGCTGGGGTGAGTGGATCGTGTGAAGTGGCGTTTTGCTTTTCTGGCTGACAAGCTATCTAGAGCATCGCGGCTAGCGGAAGCATTTTGTTCGTATCCATGCAGTTCCTATTGAAGATGCATCAAAAGACTGCAAGCAAGGAATCTGTTTGATACGATACTTCGATCATCTAGTCAACGGCGGCATCTATGGGATGGATGATTGGACTGTTGTGTTTGGCTACTATGGCGACTTCTTCTGTCTTTTCTCCGGATCCGAAGTTCTCAGTACTCCTGTTCCTTCAAGTACTGTGGTCACGAAACTGCGTATCTTTCAAGTAGTATACTATGAGTACATTTCAGGTTTGTATATGTGGAACACAGTCAATCAAAAAGCGTTGATCGAAATCAAAAAAAAGTAAGATAGCGAAGACAGGACAAAAAGCGAATCCGACTCAAACGACTTTCTTGTCCTCTTCTGCGGGCTTCCTCCGCTCGAGAACCTCAACCCATTTTTTCGGGAACCAGCCTTCGCGACCCTCGCGCGTCCGACCTTTCCACCACTCGCTCTCCACTTCTAACCGTGGATCTACCTCCACACCGGTGCTAGGATCCAACTTTCCCATGATGGCGACGATTTCATCCTCCTTGAGCGCAAGCTCAGATGGAGATGAAGGTGTGAATGGATATAGCGCGCGTGCAAAAGTAAGCGTCGACGGGTCAAGGGGGCCTAGTGGACCACTAGGACCAAGTGCTTGCTGCTGTTGCATCGCACGCTCATTGAGAATTTTTACAAGCTTCGTCATGGCGTACGGAACACCGAAAATAGCGAGCAAGAATACGATAATGGGTTTTCGGCTAGGCTTGATAGGAGGAGGGCCCATTGGGCCCTGGACGGGCTTGCCGCTGACGAACTCTCTAAATTCACTCTGTATACTTATGGAACTAGGGCGGCCCGTGATGAGCTCCTTCATCCACCGTAAAAGACCGAAGAGGCCTAATACACTACCCAAGGCATTGCGAAGATGGCTGAACTGCTCGACAACGCCGACCATTGCGAAAAATGAGCTGTGCGTCGCCATGAATGTGGACTCGAGCATTTGTGCTACGCCCGAGAAGGTCTGGACGATGGAGTGGAGAAGGGAAAAGGTGTGTTGGGTCGTGGCTTCGAGACTCTGCGAAAAGGAAGGATTATTGGGATCCATACCAGGATACATGCCCATTCCACCCATTCCACCCATTCCGGGCATTCCTGGCATGGTGCCGTACATGCCATATCCACCGTACCCGGTACCATAACCACCGCCCATTCCGCCATAACTATAAGGCGAGTACGTGGACCCAAGGCGAGAGTACGGCGAATATTGGGTGTTATATGATGGCTGCAAAGAACTGAAGGGTGTGAGGGTAGATGTAGATGGGTTGGAGAGAGCTGGGGGACGTGCAGGCACTGAAGGTAGTTCTGAAGAAGATAAGCTGGTCGGAGTTGACGACGATGCGGTGACGGTAGGTGCTGCTGTCGCTGTTCCCCGCTCCCAAGGCTTGGGCGGTGATGCCATTGACCGTGCTCACTGTTGCCGACGACGACGACAAGAGACGAAGTGAAACTGCGTTGCGTCCTCGGCACAACTGCCGGTTTACGTAAGCCACAGTGCATTTGAAATTTGAACTCACCTTCAAGCTTCAACCATTGGCAATATCGTCACGGTTAACGTTCATCGACGCATCGAGCCAACGTGTTAGCGGACGTCAAAGTAGCGACTGAGATATATGGGACACGTGGCAAGTACTATGTACTACCTTTGTTTCGGCATAGCTGGCTGTGTCTACCATTAACATTCTCATTTCCTCTCGATTGATTGCAGGACTTATACTTTGAAGGTCTGGTGACTGACTTGGACTTTCTTGGACTGAAGACGCTTCAAAGTCCTTCCCTCGGAACATCTTACAAGAGTTAGAAGACTGGAGCATAATCACTTGATACATAATGGGATAGTCATATCTTCTTATTATTAGATCGACTTCACCTTCCACTCACCGGGCATCCGAAATTCCGTGGTGAGACAGAAGCTCTGGATGATTTCAATCCAAAATGTAAATCTTGATCACTTAACCAGGTTGTTTGGCTTCGGGGGGCCTTCCTCGGTCAGCGGTCGTCTGAAATGAAGACAACGTTGAGCTTCTATAGTCATGCCACCCCATCAGCCACATTTTCTGACACACTATAGTTAGTGGAGTCCTTCCATCCAGCATGTTCTTATTATGGGCACTGGTAAAACAATGTTCGCCCCCCGGCGCTCGCGTTATCCATGAACCATCTATAAAATCATACAATGTCACATAATCTTCAACTCGTGCATCGGATATTTTACGCCCATGGCAGAAAGCCAGAGTACGAATTTGTCACCTATAGGGGTCCGGGATGTGGAATTCCATACTGATACCCAGACGCACTCCCCCAGTTCAATATTGTCAAATGAACCCATTAAGCTTGACATAGAGCATGCAATGGTTAAGGATGATCCCCGAATATGGTCAAACACGAAGAAGGCGAGTCCTTCTATCTTAGTATGTAATGAGAGTCGACTGAATACAACTACAGACCACTATATTGTTCATTATATCTGGAGCCACGATGTTCGCGGGTTTGGCTGCGAACATACAAAACCGTAGGTTGCATCCGTGATCCTATTATATCCAATATCGGTTGAACAGTCAGGAAACAGCTGCCAATGCTCAAATCGAGCAACAGCTACTCGCCAGCAGTGGGGATATCAGCCTGAGTTTGGCACTGTTCATTCTCGCTCAAGGCACTTTTCCTATCATTTGGAGTGCGATTAGCGAGATAAAGGGCCGCAAGGTCTGTATTTATAGCTGTTTTCAGAGCATCGTTTGTTAATTTGGCCGAGCACAGCTCGCGTACCTTCTATCCATTGCACTTTTTATGATTGGATCTTCAATCGTGGCCGTGTCAAGGACTATTGGTTTGGTAATTGGCATGCGAATTGTGCAAGGCGCAGGGTAGGACAATTCCTCGATCTCTCGTATTCGTGCTCACTTGGAGTAGGTCAAGCGCAGTTTTCGCTATCGGAACTGCCACTCTGGCCGATATATACGAGCCGCATCAACGAGGTACAATGATGGGTGTCTACTATTCTGCACCTCTCCTCGGTCCCTCGTTAGGACCAATCTTTGGTGGTGCACTCACACAGGGCCTCAGCTGGCGGGCGATTTTCTGGTTCTTGGCCATCTGGGGAGGCATTATCTTTTTGGCATTCCTTTTCTTGTTCAAGGACACCTTCAGGAAGGAGAGGAGTGTGACTTACCAGAACGTATTGAAGTCGAGGCTCCAAGAGCTGCAATCGTCAGAAGTGAAGGACAAGTCGCCAATTATTTCGGAGTCAGAAGTGGGCGGAGAAAACCAGACGATTTCGAAAGATATCGAAGCACAGAAAATGGTTGTACCAGCGTCGGCCATTAAAGATGTAAACCTATCCATGGCTGATATCAACCCTTTCCCTGCGTGCCTCTCGATTTTCAGCCGCAAGAACAACCTTGTTATCATGATAACATCGGGTGCGTGCCTTCATTTCTTGCTGAAATATATTTTTACGCCCTCTTGCGCCAGGCTTAATACTTGGGTTTAGCTTCAGTATTGCGTATACATGCGCAAGAACATTGTCGATGTATTATGATTATGATGCATTGAAAACTGGCCTTGTTTTGCTTGCCTATGGTGTCGGTGAGTGAGTTATAAGCAAATTGGGAACACTTGCCTGATGCATCTACTTATCCCAGGCAGCGTAACCGGTAGCATATTGGGTGGTCGTTGGTCCGATCGGACACTTGCTCGGCTAAAGACCGCAAATGGAGGGGTCAGCTTTCCAGAGGTGAACATTAAACTAACCCTATCTCAGCATATGGCTGATGCAAATCCATGCAGATGCGCCTCGAGAGCACGAAAATCATGTTATGGTCACCTCTTTCTGTGATTGGATACGCCTGGGTGTGCCAAGAACGAGTCAGTATCGCTGCTGTGTGTGTGATGCTGTTCCTCGCTGGATTTCTATCCGTGTACGTTCATCCCGTATTATATTGTATTTTGCTCTCATCCACGATAGATGGACCTACACAAATATACTGGCATACCTTGTCGACGCAAACACTGGTCGCTCATCAATGGCAGTAGCAACGAATAGTTTTGTTCGTGGTCTGTTTGCTTTTGTCGCTGCCGAGATTGCTGTTCCTTTACAAGTGAGTCAAGGTTATAGCAGTTCGCAGAAGGCCAGAACTGAGGTTGGTTTAGGACACAATTGGCGATGGTGGCCTGTATACTCTCTGGGCAGGTCTGATGGTCGTCGTTCAGTGCATGATTCTGCTGGTGTTGTACAAAGGCAGGCGCTGGAGAGAAGCCAGTGTTGAGCGGGAGGAGCGGAAACTGCCAAGTAAGGAGTAAATGATCACGGGTCCGATACTATCATAAGGTCCGATCGACGATGATTGAATATTGATGGGCAGCTACCTGCAGTTACTCTAGTACTTAGTAGGGGGACTCAGTAAACGTCAAAACTTCGCTAAGTACTGAACGCACATGATAGGAAAAAGGAGGGTCGCCCAGCAGCAGAGAATTTCAGCAAATGGCCTCATGACTGATGCGAGATGGGCCGATGTGACAATCAACGAAAAATCCGCAGCAGCCCCGGGACTCGAAATTTCGTATGAAACATCTTCCGTCCCAGCAGTCGAGGGTTGAGCGTTCCCCACTGCCTCCTGTAACTCCCCGAACCTCTCGCTGCCTCTCGCAGCTCTCTCATGGCCTGGAGCGCGAATTTTGAAGTGATACATTTGTTTATTCAAGTATTTAAAGGCTGTAAGGACAGGACTACAAATATATGTTATATTTACACTAGCGACGCATAAATGTACAGACATAGCGGCCCAAAAGTGCCATGAAAACCGTGCAAATTGATAGTATGCATAAGCTCACGCTAACGCCTCGAGCTCGTCGACGAACGCAACATTTTCTAATTGCCGAAATGAGTAATAGCAAAACGACACAATGACCGATCGACCGATCACATCCTGATCTGAGGGCTTCAAATCACACTGTTGGCCAGAAATGTGGAACGTGACAGTGCTCTGATGCCGATCTTCGGACGGCTGCATCGCACTACATGGACGTTAACGAGAGTATTGATGTGTCCGATTTTTTCGTGGTGTCACAAGGACTCAGGCTGATACATCAATTAATTACAGCTACTGGTGAGTGGAATGCACCTGTGTTCGGCGCGTTCCGTTGCAGCGCCACCTTACATCGCGTGCCGTTGGTGGCAGTGTTGCCGTCACTGAAACAACCAACCTTGTACTGTCACGGTACATGGTATGGCATGTAGCAATCCATTCTGCAGCTAATCCCGACTGCGTGATCACTGATCATGGGTCAGAACATCTCGAGAACAGCATTGGGACGTTTTCCGATCGCGATCGTGATGTGTCCCTGACTTAGTTTCATGCGAAACTACTCGGTCCAATGGAGGCTCATCCATCAAGATTCATTTACAGAACTGCCAGTGATACTCAGCATGTCCCTTATAAGAGTGCTGTATAGTGATATATATGTACGAGCGACATTTTTTTTCGTTCACCAAGTTCACTGATCCCAATATGATCTCACTCTCAAATACCATTACTAGTAGTCAGCGGCTAGAGGTCCTTCACAATCGAATTTTCAGCTATTTTGCAGGTTCGTAGGGAGTCGGATGACGTTGGGGACATCTCATTATCTTTAACTTTGGTTCTGCAGTTGCATCCTCTACTGGGGTGGTATATGACTGGGGTGAGCCAGACACTTCTTACCACGGGAACCATTAATGTCTATTGTATTCCAGCACTCACATTCGGAGAGGAGGTAAGTTGATCCCATTACCAGCACAGCTATTTCACGAAGACTCGTGCTTTTATAGTTTGAACTTGTCTGGGTGAGCAGTGTTCCATCTCAGAAGCACAACAGGACAATGCGATTAATTCGGGCAGAGGCAAGGCTGGTCCTTGATGAATATTCTATATATTTGTGTGAGTAGCTTACATCATAAATGTGGTTGACAAGTACTTTGTGCTTACGTTAAGATATCCTAGGTGTGCTACATTGGAATATTATTTTCTGTGTACGTTTACAAGGCTCATAATGTGACACTGCACTGTACCAATGAGACATCTCCCACAACTAGCATCAATACACTGAGTATGCATCCTCGCATGTACTGTTTGTTTTGTTCCTTCTGACCAGCGGCATACAGCAAATCTTCCGTCAATCCCGTTAACAGATGTAGTGAGTGTTCTACCCCCTTGTCGTTCTGTTCAACCAACTCAACTACACTCTTACGTAGGGGTGAGTGAGATTCTCTGCTATATTCAAGTTTTCGAATGAACATGACAACTGCAACAGATGTCAGTTTGTTTAATGCACCCAGTCCTCAAAGCCCATCAATAAACTGACTTCTCAGGCACTAATATTTACCTCATGAAGATATGGACACCAGTCATCGTAAATATCATGCTTGGCGGTGAGCCTTCAGCTGCAGTATCTCTTTTATGTTGATTTTACTGAAATATCATGCAAGTTATCATGACGGTTCGGATACATGCCATGTATCAGCGATCCAAAAAGATGCTCATCTTTCTCCTTGTAGTCTTCCTGAGTTCCATGATCGCCACCGGAGAGTGTGGTCGCGATAGGAAGCAGACATGTTTCAGGGGGTAAGCTTTAATTTGTATGACAATCATAAGCACGTGAACTCATGAATACCAGGGGAGCTCATTCCTTTCAGGCAACTACCTGTGTGTTTTGTCTACAAAGCACGCGGCCTTCGTCTGAATCTCAAAACTTGGATACCCACCTTCGTATAGGAGATCCTCGCCTTTTGTCTTACAGTTTGGAGTGTTATATAACGCCTCTCGGAACTGCGACGGTCACCACAGGATCGACAATAGGAGGCCTGTCTAGCGGTGTGTTGATAAAAAGTCATGTACTATACTTTGTAGCGTGAGCTGTATATTTTCGTTATCATCGTGTTTCTTGCTGTGTGTCGACACCTCTTCGCCAACCTATCCCAATGGGTCGGTCAAGATTTGCTGGTGCCTGTACCAGATTGTCATATGTTGTCAGTCTAGCGTCCTCGTGCATGATACAGACCTCGTCCTAGCCTTTGGGGTCATGCCTGATCAATTCGAATCCCTAATTCTCGCAGATCCCGGCAATGAAGCATAGTCAGGGTTCGCATGCTTTACTTGTGAGCTGCTCACAATAATCTCCACCATACCAACCACCTACATGATCATGCAGACTCAGTTCCATCCCTCTTCACGATCGTGAACTTTGGTTGCACAACCCAATTTCCTCATGTTATGAGCTTAGCCTGATTCCCAGCTGCCAACGCTACTTCGAATTCCTGAAAACGACAATGCTACTTCCTGACAACGCCAGTGCATCGATTAGATAATTCCCTATTCTAGTTTTGCCTCGACTTTAAATGGAGCTCCTCAAAGGCCTCAAAACTCATTCTAACACCTTGCAATACAGAAACATGTCAGCATCTGTCATCTATCAAAGCATTTACATATCTTAGTAAACGTCCAGTACTGTATAATTATTGAAATGGTCCTCAGATATCCAACAGTCCAGCTAGAATCTCCATCCTCCCGTGAGTCCCATCACATTACCTGGATCCACGGCACTCCTAATAGAATGCAGAGTGGATGCAGCATCCCCATACATATCCGTCAAAGCCGTGCCAGGAGGCGCACAATTAGGGTATAACAGTGCATTCGCAACGTCCTGACCAGCGTCCACGGCAAACTGCTTCATGTAGGCAGCACTCTCTGCGCCAACCTGGAGCATTACCTCATCATCGTTCGGATCCGTCCACCCATAATACACCTCAATAAACGAGTACCCCTGTCCTGAATCCCGTAAAGAAGGGAAAGCAGCCGGTGTATCGGAGTGACTGTAGATTGAGGGAAGGAGAGGGACGAGATCGTATGAGATCAAAACTCCGCTTGATTGCGACAACTGCTCGCCATAAAACTAGACGCTCTGGTGAGTGGTGCTTTGATCAGATGAAAAGTGAGACTCACCAGCGTCTGATTCTTGACCATCTGTAGCATAGACGACGTGAATTGCTCAATAGGCACCCAGTGGAACATAGCCCTGTCTCCAACTGAGCCAAACCAATTGCTGAACATCGTATGACGTACCTTAGGCCCGATGAGGCATTCGCGGGTAAAGTCTGAATAAGGTCCAAATAAGCCCTCGTCGAGATGTCCTCAACAGAGTGTGGGATTGCCAATAATTCATCGAAGATGCCATCAGGGTAAGTTGGCGCATCATAAAATAGAATGGTCAATATCACTGTCTATCGGGAATCAGTTACTCAAATATGGTCCTTACGTGAATCAATCGTAACGCACCACCCCAGACGCGTAGTCGGTTGTACTGTACAGACAGGCTTTGGGATCGGTGACCGTCGACACATAATTAGCTATGGCCGTATTGACTGCATCCCATTGATCCGCCGTGTACGTTATAAGCCCACCCTGTACTCAATTACCATTAGGGTCGTACCAATGCAGAGGTATGGTACGTACCCAGACTTGAGACTGGGCGTATGTTTTCATAGTCACTGTGGTAACAATTCCCTGCAGCAAATCAGCGTGTGCACTGGAATCCGTGAAGCAACACCATCACGCACAAAATTGTTGAATCCTCCCTGAAAAAAATAACCAAAAATGAGATGCTGGCTATCTGCACGTCAAGACACTTACCCGAAGGCCATAGAATAGATCTGGATTCGAAGAATTTGTAATATTCGCGACCGTGCCATTAGGCATTACAAGCTCAAACGCTACGACATTGTCAACCGACAAACCGTACTGATTGCTGAGATATGAATATCCTAGTCAAAACACAAAACATTCAATCACCGGTATTTTTCCACGAGCAGGTGGACCTACCTCCTCCAAGGACGATGCCGCCGATCCCAACGCCAGTAGTCTTCGCTCCTACGACAGTCACGCCGTATTGTTCGAGCTTGGAATAGACATCATCCCAAATTAACCCTATGCCAATAGTCGCTGTCTGGGCATTCGAGTCGTATACGACTTCTGAAAATGAAAACAAAGCAATTTGGACTCCAGGGGTCGACGAAAACCCTGGATTCGCTGAATGACCACCGCTTTTGACCTTTAACACAGCCGCGTGTGAAGATCAAAATACAAGCTAATTAGTTTATGGACTCACTGCAAATGGGGTCTGGTCCTTGGCCAATAATTGGAGCTAGTGTTCGTTAGCAAGCAGAATCAAACTTTATATTCTACTAAACTTACAGCGATTCCGACGTCCTGAGCGTTCGCGGGCTCAAAGGAGCATGCAGAAGTTTGAGAACTGGAAGAAGCCCAATGCTCGTTATCCTCGGTATATTGGGGCGACCCTATGCATTGCTTAGTCCCTCTTGCGGTAATTAGTATTGGATATACTCACCGTTGTAATACACTTTGGACGCAGAGGAGACAGCGGTAGCGATCTCCTGGCAAGTCGCAGTATAGTCAGCTCTCCGCAGCTCTGTGGACGCGGAGAGGCCAATGAGGCCTGAGATTACTGCGAAAAACAGGCCAGGAAGGAGTGTCATTGACTTTGACGAGAGAATAAAACATCAAGTGACTTTCAGCAGGACTCTTTATGTAAATCAGAAATTCGGAAGGCATGAGAAGGTCGTCGCTGAATATGAAATAATGGCAAGTACGATGCCGTATGTCGTTCCGCAGCCTGAGGGGATAAGCAAAGCTTTGATTTAAATAGACTCCGACTCATCAATGATCGATATCCTCGATTCAAGCTAAAAGCTGCCAAGAGGTATCAAGTCAGTGCCATTACATCAATTGAATATTTATTAATTGGAGGCTGATTTCTCCTGATGCATTCATAGTGTCATTAGCAGAACTCGGGAATTTAGGCCTAGGACCCGAAGGAGATGAGAACGTTGGTGAGGATGACGGATGAGATGAGGCAATATCAATGATGTCGTCATTAGGAACATAGAATGACTAAATGAAATGCCTTCGTTGCTTACATAAGGCTAAAAAAACTCAAGTCTGACATAAACATCGAATGCGGATAAACTATTACTCCTCTGTGCAGGCTCCGTCGTTCGGCGCCGCTCGCTACTACCGCTCCTGCACTAGTTTTTTTTTGATGGGTTACATAACTCTTTACTCACCCGTCATGATCAATTTGGTGGAATAGGACCTGAAGGTGAATTGCTACTGGACAGTCTGGACCCCTCTGGAACACACTATCTCCTTTCTTCACCTGGATCGGATAGCAAACCGACGCGCTGCGTGCCACATTGTGCCTTGAGTCTTCATACGTCTCGCACTTTGATCCGTTCAATGCTAACGTCGGTTTTGCTTTTGATGCACTGACGCACGTCATGACAGTGACCTATGAAAAGGCACGTACAGATTCAATATTCAATTTTTGGCCAACTCAGAGGTATTATACAACTAATTACATTTCCCTACTCAGGCCGCAGCTCAGGCCAGGGCGGCTTTTAGGCCGAGCCGAGCCAGAATATCACCGTGACTACCTAAAACTTTTGACTTGGGCGGTGACACTATACCAAATGAGAAGCTGGAATTCAACAAGAGGATCTGAATTTTCCGCGCTTCTGAATTAGCTGCCTCGCGGCCAGTCGCAGTCAGCTCGGGGAGAGACTCGGCGATTGAGGCAATGCACATGCCCCATCACGCATTGTGCATTAGTGCTGTCGAGCGATTGGCTCGTGCAGTACAGCAGTTACTGCGCAAGTTCTAATTTGGCTTCATAGTTACAAAGCAACATGTCACTTGATATGATAATCCTGCCAGCGATCCATAGAGCCTTCCTGCAACCGCACGAGTGTAATTAATGTATGGGCGCCGGGCTAGGCTGAGATGTTGGGTAAATTGTAAAACAAAGCCAAGGCACTACGACTCATGCTCCGGAATGTAGAACGTAAGATCGGGCTGCCTGGCCCTGTTTCTCTTTGGTTTGTCAAGTTAATATCCGAAGGAGTCGTAGCTCACAAAATATTTTACTTGTTTGTCAACTTAGATTTTGATTGGCATCGATGCACTTGAGGAGTGGTGAATACACACTCGAGAGCAACAGCGTCCAAGCTGGTTCCGATAATCTTCAAAAGATGCGATTTCAGGCCATTCAAAAATACATCATATTGTGAGGGATATTAATAATCATAGAGGTACCTGCCAGTGCTGTACAATCCATATGTGATGAGCGCGCAAGTAGTGCCTGTATAAGTATTACATTGAGCATAACAACTATAATATTACTGATGCGAGTTCATGATGAGGCGTGTCCTCCCGGGCTACCGATTTCGAACAGACGACACTCCCCTTAGATAACGTCAATCAAAATGGTAGGGTGCCTCGTTAGAGGCGGTGACCCCACGCTCTTCCGAGGCTTACGCGTCCTGGGTTGCACAGGAGACGACATGATAATTCGGGGTTGTCCGTCCTTCCTAGGCCTCAAGGTTTTGTAGACCTGCCATTCCTTCCCCTCGACGGTGATGCTGCCAAGGTGCTTGGTGTTCTCTTGGTCCGCAGGGTCGGTTTGTATCTGCACTGCCTTCGGGGTAGGCAGCGTCGGTCGAACTTGAGGCTTGAACGTGGGGTCGATCATGACAGTCCCGTGTGCTCCGAGTATCGGAAGACCTTGCGAATTCAATCTCTCACCCGTAGGTCCAACTCCAAACTCTGATACCTCCTCTTCCTCTTCGATAAAGATAGACCGCTCGGGCGAGACAAAGTGAACATGTCTTGCAGTGCCTGCACCAGCAGACGTATCCACTGCCGGTAAAGTCGAATTCATCTCTCTCGCCACCCGTTCTTTCTCTTCGCTGCCTAGTAAATTTCCCACTTGAGTCAAAAAGGTCTCGTGGTTCCTCTGGAACTCGTGCTCGAGAATTTGCTCCTTTGTCAAGTTCGTGGCGGAGCCGACGGGCCTCTGCAATACATATCTCACGCGAATACCAGAGCTAGTACCCAGTGAATTGTTGTGCCAAAAGTTAATCCCTTTAAAGCCGATGCGCTCGGGGCTGCGCTGAAGTGGCTGGGGCCTCTTTACGGGCGTGCGAAGGACAGAGCCCGCGTCGAACGCATGCTGAGTCATAGGAGTCTGAGGGAAGCACGTCGTGTTGCTCGGCGGTGGTGTGGCGTTCCCCTCCTCGTCTATATCCATGCCAGTCTCTTCTTCATTATTGTTCGTGTCTTGCTCGGGGTAGATCCAGCGCGTATGAGCGCCAAGACCAGTAGCAGTTTGAGTGATCAGGACAGATGTGCCATCTACATCGCGGCATCTGAGATAATAGCCGTTGGCGTTGCTAACCTTGGTCTGGCGTGTAACATTTGGAATACGAGATGGCATTGTGAAGTATCGCAACGCGTGATAGGGGTATAGGTAAAGTAAACTGTTCAGTAGAAGTTGAGGGTGTTGGTACACCTGGAAAGCTCGTTCAGCCACTCAAATACGTTTCCTCGCAAGTGCTTTGGCGGGAGTGCGGATAAAAGAATTCCTTTGGGCTTTGTCCACGGCTGGCCGCTTTGTCCACTCTTTATCTTCGCTGCGCACGAGCTACCATTTCAGGACAGTTGTCCGGACCAGGGGCGGCCACATGCTGGTCCATGCGGGTTCTGTGACTCAATGAGTCGGGCGGACCTGGCGTGATCACAGCTTGAGCGCTGATAGGCGCGTTTGCCAGCGACGTGACTCAGTGGTTTGTGGCAGAATAGTGTGGGAACCCGGAACGTGAACTGTAGCGTTGTATTCACGTGCACGGTGGGCAAGTCTGTTACATAATAATGATTGATCAACTTGCTTTGATCAAGGAAGTTTCATCAGCTCGAGCTACTTCGTTATTATGATTGTGTGGACTAATGTTCTGCTATTTCAGAGACTCAACCAGAGTCCGCAAGCAGATTCTGCAACAAAGTGGCAAACCCATCATATATAAGTGCCTTTGAACCATTAACACGTCGTGAATAACTTTCGTATGTCGGTACGTTGCTGACCGCGAGACTGACTGCTGACGCTGGTGGCCAACTATGGCATACCCACCGTTACCAAGGAAGGGGAAATGCCAACGAGCTCCCAAGGGATGCGAACCTTATAATATGGCCACAAGCTACTTGTCATTTTTTTCCTCTGGCTACCATCGATAATCGGTCGTCCACATTATCGGAAAAGTATAATACGTTATCTATGTATTGGCATGTCCACAACTTACCTTGTCGCGGAGTCCGAAACTCCTCAGGAAATCCATTGATCCACACAAGGAGTATGACTTGTGGACATTCCCACTCTCAGAACGTCCACAACTGGAGCCGTTAAAGGTCGCACTCTCATACGAGCGCGATGTTCCAAGACCACAACACAACACCTCAAAATACTTTGTCCGCGCCCAACTACCTTCAAGAAATATGTTCCCTAAGTCGCCATACCGTCATATCCCCTTCTTCCCGCAAACACCTGCTGGATTCAGGATGTTGAACCCCTCGAAGAAGCCTTACTTTCGTCCCTCCATTTTTTCGCGTCATCCTTCACCATGCGTCGACTCCCCTTCGAGCAGCCCCACCCGCGAGCCAAATGCACCTGCATTCTTTGATTGCAATGCACCGCCTACACAGGGCCTTCCGCACATTTTCCAGCCCGCCTCAGCCAACACCGCCCGTGTAGGTCGTCCACACACGAAGGCTGCTGTTCCAAAGGTCTTTAAGAAGAGCGTGCCCACCAAGGCTTTCCCCAGTCAAATCATCCACCCGCGCCGCAAACTCTGGCACAAGCGCTTCACTTACCATCTCACGGTCACTCGTCCAGGCCTCCGTCGCAAAGGCCCCCGGTTCTGCAACCCAGCAAAGCTCAGGCGCGAAAAAGCAGCAGCTGCTCTCAATAACCTCGAAAATGTCGTCCTCAAGACTATGCAAACCGGTGGTATGACCGCCGAAGATCGTATTTTCCTCAAGCAGCTTGAAGAGCTCCGCCTCGATCAGCTACGTAGGCACACGCTTGGAGATGCTAGAGAGGTCGTCGCACGCGCTGAAGCGTTGGGTCCGCAACGTGAGTTGGAGCACGCGGAGCGTGACCGCCAAGCTGCCCTACGATTGGAAGAGAACGCACAGAGGAAGAAGGAAGAGGAGGAATTTCGCCGTTTGGAGGAGGAACGTCGGCGGCTGGAGGAAGAGAAGCGTAGACAAGAGGAGGGCAGGCGCAGACAAGAAGAAGCTAGGCGTTACGCAGAGGAACGGGCGCGCCTTCGTGAGCAGCGCGAGCGCGAGCTTCAGGCCAAACGAGAGGCATTCCGTAAAGCTCAGGAGGAAGCTGAACATCGGGCCCGTGTGCAAGCAGAGCAGCGCCTTCGTGAAGAAGCTCAACGGCAAGAGAGGCAGCGCCAAGAAGAACTTCGTCGCAACAAAGCTCAAGCGGATCTCGTCGCTTTTTTCCAGCTCTACGACGCAAAGTGGAAAGAGCTCAAACTGAGCCAGAAGTTGACTTCAGTTATGCTCTGCGAGATGCCGTGGCCAACCTTCCAGCAAGGCTGCGCATCCCCCGATGACATCTCTCGCCGTAGCATGGAGGAATTCATCTTCCACCCCCTCCGCCCAGGGATGGAGACCAAGTCGCGCAAGGACCGACTGAAGGTAGAGATACTTAGATTCCACCCCGACAAGTTTAACTCGAACATCGTGCGCAAGTTACGGGAGTGCGATAGGGAAAGGGCGAGCGAGATTGCGGGAGCACTGGCCAGAATACTGACAAACATGATGGCTGAAGAGATTCAGAAAGAGACGGATCAATAGGCCAATATATACTAGAATTCTGCTGCAGTCGTTAGTAATTTTATGGTAATTAGGATATGTCCAATATGCAATCATATGACTCTATCAAACCGTGTTTAACTTTACAAGCAACACGCCCATATCAACAAGAGCGACTCTGCGTGTTCACATTACTGATAGAACTACACACATACAAGTAAAAATATTTGAGCTTGTAAAATAACCTTTCCAATGGCACTCACCTTTCCGCATCCTTCTTGGCCACATACGCAAGTAAATCGCAGACGCGTTTCAAGTATGCCCAGTCATTGGCATAGTATGCAACCAACTTGAAGGAACGGTCAAGGACCGTGAACTGAAGCTCAGGATAGTAGACGGCCGACTCGGTACGCTCAAGCAAGTTTGTAGACGCGAGAACATTATCAGAGACAGACAAGACGCCCTTGAGCGGACCCTCTTCGGCTTCCTTCATGGCAGCCGTAATAGCATGGTAAGTTGTAGTGCGTTTGAGCTTCACGACAAGGTCAATGACGGACGCATTTACAACTGGAATACGAAATTCAAGATCACTACAAAAAACATTTAGGGCCAAACCAGCAGATCGAAAGGAAACGATGACACACGTGAACTTGTCATCCAACGAGAGGACTATCATTCTGACAACCTCCGCCGCTTCAGTGTAGGTTGGGATGATATTGTTAGCGACGGATTTATTATCAGTGACGTCGGCCGCACGAATACTGGACATGAAGACTTCTTCGATGCCAAATTTATCGTGAACGACCTTTACGATAGGGGCAATGCAATTGATAGTGCTCGAGGCGCTAGAAATGACGGTGTACTCGGGTTTGTACGCATCGATGTTGACGCTACAGACAAACATGGGCACATTAGATATTGCAGTAATGATGACTTTTTTGGCACCACCCATTAAATGGGCGGCTGCCCTAGTAAGTCATTAGCATCACTATCAACTCAAGTTTTCGACAGAGCTTACTTGGCTCTCGTGGTGAAAGACCCCTGTTCAACTTTGCTCAAGAGACTAGCTGAAATTTGTATGTGCAACACTTACACTCGACTCGATGGCATGGTCAGCACCAACCGATCCCCAGTTGATGTCCTCTGACTTTACTTTACTGAATACATGGATGGGCTTGTTGTTGATGTAGAGCTTGCCATCTTTACCCGCACGAACATCTCTCTTGAAGTTACCGTGAACGGGGATAGACCTGAACTTGGTTACCTGTGGTTGTAATGAAATAGGGGCTACCCCTTATGCGCTTGGAAACGAAACCAACCATATCATCCACCTTTAACATGGAGCTGTGAGCGCGAATAAAGATTAGACGGACAGAAGTGACTGATAACAGAGATGTACTAACTCGTTGATGGCAACGACTTCGATGTCCTGGTACAGGACCGCATGACGCATACAGATACGACCCATACGACTTGTAAACGCGATTGTTCGTCAGAAACACGCTATTTAACACCATACAGAGCGAAGATACTGACCAAATCTGAAAACAGACGGGAAATATGCGTTGTTCGCTGTTACTCCTCTCTAACAACCTACCCGTTGATGCCTATTTTGACCTGCAATTACAACCAACGTAATCAACTTGTCGCTCGACCCGAAGGAGAACAGGCTCTACTCACCATTTTGCTGGTTGAGTGTGGTACTAATGGAATGACGAATGCGAGAGGAGGGGGAAGACATAACAGGTTGTCTATGAGACACCTCCTATATCATATTTTCCGGGTATGGTCCACCAACGTCATCGCCTGATCACCTCCATTCATACTACGCAGCGGCATCATGAAGAGCGAAACATTTAGGTGTGCTCATGCCATCTACCTTAGACGAAGCGGGGCAGTGTTCCTCGAGCTGGCGGCATGTCAACTACGTTACTTACATCCCTCATCATGCGCATCAGGCATGAGACTAATATTTGACCTACGATCCATCACTGAGGCTTCGACGACAAAATCATATTCGGTGAGTATATTTAAAGCGCCAAGTCGAAAAAAATTCTCAACCACAAGGCACAACACTGAATGGCACCGTAACAATGACACGGGGATACAGTGCAGCCTGAATAGAGAACATCAGCAACATGATTGCCGTTTACTGGCCTTGAACAATGGATATCGGCGGAGACGACGGCAGTGACGTTAGGATGCTCGACCCAAGAATGAGTCTACGCTGTCGACGTCCACAACAAGTATGGCATTGTGTTCTGAATGCTGACAATAATTTATCATCGCTATGCCAGGCGACGATATCCCTGCTAGCATCTCGGATTGACAGCAGTGCTAGGCAGCTATCGATGACTCGGACAAAGTGAGTCGAGGACAACTGGTGCAGTATTGTTTCGTACCTCAGCGAGCCTCTTTGTTTTATGTTGCACTAGTCCCCCCTAGTCGGACAGTCATTTTTTCTTGTGTATGACGTCTGACAGACTTGAAGCGCTCAAACAGTCAAACAGCCAGTGGCCTCCATCGGATGGTTCAGACCAACAGAGTATGACGCTCTTAAAAGGGCTCAAGCGCTCAACGTTGCCAACTGCCAATCGTTTACCTAATAAGGGACTCAAGAACCACCTTCCTTTCAAGTCCGACGGTTTGCATATACTACACGGCGCAGAATATAAAGCTGTAAGCAAACCCATTGACATCGAGACTCTCACAAGTCAGTAAATAGGTACCTGCATGTGGAGAATTCAGACATTTCATCATCTCCTATACATATTACAGATTCGGATGAGGCATTCATGAGAAAACCCGACTTAAGATCCCTGCAAATCTTCTGGTCTGTTTAGTAATCTCCCCTCCATTCCACCTTCAACCATCACTACTTGACCAGTGACATGACCGGAGAGAGTGGATGATGCAAGGACCACAATCTGCGTCGCGACGTCGATTGGCATCGCCACCTTCTTAAGCGGACACCTGCAGTGGCACGAAATTCAATACAGATCATGAATCATGAAGATGTGACTGACGTAGACAATATGCGATACACTATTTGAGGATCCTTCAAGGCTTCTTCAGCCATGGGTGTCTTGACCCAGCCAGGCGCAATACAGTTGACTCTGCCTTTAAGAGCTATCTTCACGATCTCATTCTTGAGAGTGAGGTTTAAACCGTACATCATTGCTACAACATGATGAGCCTGTGTCAAACTGGGGACAGAATCGTTACTGACCGCTCTTCGTCGCAGAGTAGTCGCCGTGATTGGCTTCGCCATACTTCCCAGCAGTACTTCCGATAAGCACAATCGCCGCCTTTTCCTTGATAGTAGAGGATGCACGTTCAAGGTGCTTCAAATACTCTCTACACACCAGGAATGATGACGTCAAGTTCGTGGTTATGGTGGTGTTCCATTGGAACAGCGTCATCCTTGCGATTGGAACATCCGAAGTTGGATATATAGCATGATTAACGATCACCACTTGTACGGGTCCATGAGGCATAGCAGCCAGCGACTCGAACATGGTCACCACGGCCTCCTCTTGAGACAGATTGGCCTGGACGTGTTGAAGACTGGGGTTCGATGCCAGAAGCTCCTGGATCGGACCAAATTTGGAGTTATAATGTGCGGTCACATTCGCGCCCAATGCTGAATGTCTGATTCAACTCAATAGTCATTACTCGAGAGTAAATTACTTACCACAAAATAATTTCACAGTCTCTAGCCCGATGCCGCCACTTGCCCCTGCTCGAGTACACGGTCAGGTCAGTAGTGGCATAGGATAGCATAGAGTACGACCTGTAACGATGACATGCACTCCTTGCAATCCAAGATCCATGACGTGCTGCAATGCTAGCGCTGAACGTTGACTTGGATAACGGATGATAACAGCTTCAGTAGCCAATTGAAATGTTGACGTGTGAACAATTCAATGGTACTCATGTAGCTGGTACCATTGATTGGACAGGTGACCATCGATTATGAAGCGTGTGTTATATGGGCGCTTCAATTGCGCTCGCTTCAAAAAAGTCTGGCAGGCTTCACTGACGCACGTGATATGAGCAGTACTTGCAGTGGCAGTGCCAAGGTTGCCGGTCACTTGCCCGGTGCAGTCGCTGGTCACACTAGGACTCTGACTCTGCACCGAACACCAACCCTCGATTCGAGGCTGTTTGAGTGGAGTGTACGACGAACGTAGACAATCACTGCTGACGATATACTCTATTCCTTTTGAAGACAGGCCCATAAAAGCTCTAGCCTCTGACACTGGTTTTAGTCTTAGTTTCAGGCAGACCGCCGATGCCGACCGTTACGATGACGATGACAACTGTCTTGACGCCGGACATGCTGCCTCATAAGCCGTCTAGCAAAGGTTCGCCGTCGACGGAGGCAACGCTACAATCACTGTACAACCGTGCAGCGAGAGCATTCCTTCACCGGGACATTACAATCACGTTCACCTTGTTAAGCGCTGCATTCGCGCTCCTCTCACCTCCCCTTGCGCCCTCACCTGATCCCCTAGATGTCCACCGGAGAAAGTGGGATATCCTTCGCATCACCCTCGAAACCACCGTCTTCTCTTCTACTCAAGACATAGCTCATTTACCACAACCACTCCAAGAGATCCTACTCTTGTCTCCCCAATCGTTTATTTCCACTTTGTATGCTCGATCTCTCACTTTATTTACTCCTTCATCTCTGTATCGAAAACCTAGCTCCGCATTCCTTCCGCACCAAGTCCTCATCACACTCGTCGCATCCAGTATCAAGATAGATTGCCTAAGCGTTGGTCGTGAGATGACAGAGGACTGGCTATCAAAACGCGGTCAATATGACTTCGTACCTTCTACGGGTGAACCATATCATAGAGTCCTAGAACTTTATTGCTTGCATGTCTTACCTCGTTTGGGCGAGTGGGAGTACGTCAAAGAATTTCTGTCCTACGAGAATGAACTCTCGTCTGACGAAAAACGCGTGAGTTTAATTTCATGATCCTTGTATCGCACTGAACACAATATTGTCAGGAACTTCATCTGGCCCTCGAGGCTCAGCATGCTCACGCGTTAGAGAGTACAAGGCGGGAGACGTCAAAACCCGAGACTCCTCCGTCTCCTACACCAATACCTCCACTCCGCTCTCTATCCCCAGCCTCTTCTTCCTCTTCTCTATCCACTACATCTACCCGCACCGCCATGCCAGCATCCCCTCGTCCAAAACTTACCCGCCAACAATCCGCGTCCTCCACATCAACAGTCTCAGACTCCACCGTAACCAGATCCCCTCGCCACCGCCACAACCAAAGCATGCCCCGAGGAAGCTCAAGTGCTAGTGGCGTTCGCATCTCCCGCGTTCTGCCAGTCGACCATAGTCTCGCGACTGCACCCCCAACCTCCCTAACACTCATACGATCTTATTTCAACCACTATTTCACTGCAAACAGAATAGCCACTCTATCAGTCTTGCTCTTCCTAATCCCCCTTATATCTTTGATGCTTCGGAGGCGGCGGCGCTTGGAGACACCTGCGGACTTGGTACGGAGAAGGTTATTGGAAGCCCGTGGCGATTCGATTGCGACACAGTTATGGAATGAGTTGGTGAGGGCAGTTTTGGATACTGTTAGGATAGGTGGTGGGGGACTCGTATAACTCACAGTGCGCCTGCTTAGTATCGATCTTCTCAGCTAGACCAAGTAGAAGGATATTGGTATCAGGCCATAGGCCATGTGATTATACATAGTGATCTTTCAAGTGGTTCGAACTTTATATTATGTAACAGCTGGCGTTCTGTGCAACCGTGGAGGCGCTAAAATCCTGAATGTGCACGTTTGAAGCGGACAGCTTATTGAGTTAGTGAATAGTATGAGGCAACGAATGCACCACTTCATCTGTTCAGAGACTCAGGTCGTATTGAAAAACCCCTTGCATTGATCCGAAATAAATCAGATGGAACATAATATCGTCGACGCAAAGTGCGAAGATAATACTGAGTTGCTCTGCAACATGTCAGACTATCATAATGATGCTGTAGCGCTGAGCTGCAATGCTTTTTGTGCAGCTTCCCTCTTCACAGCCTCCAGCATCCACATCCACTTCAAATCACGCTCGACCTTGTCCCTCCTCGCGCGTTGCCTTCACTCGTTCAAATAACTCCAATCTTCCCCAACACCTATGTCAACTGCTGTAACCTGAGGCTATCCTAGTAATTCCGACTTCAAGAGTGTAGAGACAGGCAAGGCTCAGGTGGAGGGGGGGCGTCGTCGTTCTCCACAACCAAGTGTTTCTCGGTGCAGCGAGTAATACAATCTATTCCTTCCGCGCAGCTTTGCGCACGGTATAAAGCCAGTAGTCAATTTCTGCTTGCGAGAGTGTTCGCTTGGTGCAGAACGTTTCAACCTTCCTCGCATTTACTAGGCCCGGGAGCACCACTCTCTTCAAATACCTGTGTCATGAGACTGTGTGCGTCAACCAAGACATATATTGATGTCGATTCACTGTAGAGACCGCACGAGATGCTCAGGATGGGGCGATCGAGTAGAAGGTAGCCTTGTTGTTCCACGTACGATAGTTGGAATCCTGTTTCAAATCCAGATTGTAAATGTCTTTGGTCGAAAATGACGTTGTCAATGAAACTATACTGCGCCGAAGGCAAGCAATGGCGCAACCAGATTATGTGGAGTTATCACCGGGGAATGGCGGCCATGACTTTGACATGCAAGAATTGGGCACAAGCAATCTGCTTACTAAGACACAGAGTTCGTCACTTAACTCTTTGCGCACATGTGGAAATACTGGCAAGTACAAAACAGAAGACGACGAAAATGCTCGAAAACGCTACTGTGAACGTACCCAGACTAGAGTAAGTAGCACATGTTAACTAGTGCACCTCTAAGTACAGTACATCAGTCAGTCAGACAACCGTAAATTCAGATCGCGTGCTAGGTATAGAAATTGACAAGGATTCAAAGATCAAACAGCACACTCGATATTGCAGCAATAAAATGATTGCTACGTGAAGCTAAACGCCCTGATGTTAACAACTGCAAGGGCGGATGATAAAGACAAGAACTCACGCATCTCGGCAACTCGACCAGTGTGTCCCATGTGCCATGCGGCTCAAATCAAGCTCGGGATGTCCTCTGGGTATCACAATGAAGTCCAAGGGTATAAAATGGACGTCGGAAGGGAGGTACCCAGAAAAGAGCCGATGATTAGATCCCATGATCCATCCATCAGCCTGCAGCAAAGGGGTTGAATTGGAATTATGATGAGAAGTGGGTTCGAGCAAGTCAGCGGGGTTGGGCAGGGCTGTTCTTGGCTGGACGAGAAGGAAATGACGTGATCGTTACAAGTGCTGGTTGGCATGGTACGGCTTTGTTGGGTGGGAGGTGTAGTGCTTCGATGCAGTGAAAATGAGGAAGAATCTGGCTCTCTGGACATGGGGATAGCTGCACTTTCACTGCATCCCACAGCCGCACAGTGTTATCGTGCGAACCAGACGCGATGCGAGTACCATCCGGTGAGAACGAGACTGACAAACCAACTAGTGTGCCCCTCCAAGGGCTCACCCAATGGCTGTCCCGTGATTGCATCCCACAGCCGCACAGTTATCCCGAACCAGACGCGATGCGAGTACCATCCGGTGAGAACGAGACTGACAAACCAACTAGTGTGCCCCTCCAAGGGCTCACCCAATGGCTGTCCCGTTGCATCCCACAGCCGCACAGTGTTATCCAAGAACCAGACGCGATGCGAGTACCATCCGGTGAGAACGAGACTGACAAACCGAACTAGTGTGCCCCTCCAAGGGCTCACCCAATGGCTGTCCCGTGATTGCATCCCACAGCCGCACAGTCTTATCCAAGAACCAGACGCGATGCGAGTACCATCCGGTGAGAACGAGACTGACCAAACCCTCTAGTGTGCCCCTCCAAGGGCTCACCCAA